GTTCTTTTTAATATAAGATTTTTGAGGATAGGTGTGATAGTGACTATAGATAGATTGTGACTATATAGGATAGATTTTAATAATAAAGTGTTTTGAACATTCAACTGGTGTGACTATATAGTAGAATGTGACTATAACGGGAGTGACTATAGAGGGAGTTGACTGTATTAATAACAAGATCTGCTTCAAGCGCATTTGTAACCCATAGTGTCATAGCTTCCTCCACTTCTGGAAATTGCACAGGCCTTTCTCTTTGTTTTTTACTTTCCTCAGAGTCTAAATCTAGAAGTAACCACTTATCTTTATTCTTCAAAATATCAGAAACCGTGTTCTGTTTAATGCCATATTGAATAGCAAGTTGTTCTTGGGTAAGTCGTGGTTTTTTCTGATAGTCTAAGCAAAGTTGATACTTTTGTGCTTTTGTTAAAGTCACTCTTTTTTGTGACTGTGAAAGAGTTTGAACGGCTTTTCTTTTTTCCGACATTGAGAAAAGGGAAAATCGCGTAACTTCATTTACGCGATCTAACCTTAAATAGTTAATATATCGGTATATAAACCAGATCTACATATACGTTACTATATGAGGGACAAACAAATAGTATCGAATAACGTTATATCGTGAAATCATATAAAAAATTGGTATAACGAGGTTTTTTTATTAGATAAAAAACGGGAAATTAAAAATCATCAGTATAAGCAAATATCGGTATATATTGTATCGGTATATAGAGGTCTGACTGTACTCTTAATACTTTTCTTCATATAATCCTTTACACGCAACTTTTTGGACAATTGTGTTTTCCTCTTCATATCTAATCTTTTTAGGTTTAAAAAAAACTTTAATACTTTGTTGACCTTCTCCACTATATTTACAATTACTTAATTCGCCATGTGTTGTAAGATTTTTATCTCTAAAATCTCGATCTAAATGAATTTCTTTACCACACTTACAACGAACCAATTTTGGTGTTATTTCTTCCATAAAATATTTATTAGCATGCAATTTATTCCATAACTCATCTATTTCTGTTTGTAAAAAAATTTTTTTTCTACGTTTTCTCTTTCTCTTTTGTAAATTATTTACATCATCATAGATTATAGCATCATTATCATATTCTTCTTCTGATATAACATCATCTATTTTTTCCATCTCATTATCATCTATTATTACTTCATTTTGCTCCACGTTTATATTATCCAACATTTCAACTAAATCATATCCAAGAAAATCAAGAGTTTTTTCAGAATCATATTTATTATCATCGGGTAGAAAAAACTCTATAGAAGGAAAATTTTTAGGACTTTCGGTTTGCATCTTTTGAATAGACTAAGAAAAAATTTTTTTATTGTGATTTTACAAGGTATATTTATATATATATATATTACCCTTATAAAAAATACATATGTTCGTTACCCATTATAGTAACAACCTTGAAAGTGATTATAGGACGATTACCCATTTTATGTAACAACAATGTTATTCTTACCCAATTTAACAACTATCCTAAAATTTTTTTATAGCAAAATTACCCGACTTAACGAGCAACAATTTTGGATTTTATATAACAACTTTACCATTTTAACGGCAACCTATATATAGAGTTTCCGGGGTCCTCCTTTGCCATATCTTATTAATGGAAACATATGATACTTTATAGATATGGAATGGTTATCTGCTACTTATGCAATCAACTTGTATATTTGGAATAGAAAGCTTGTTAATTAACAAAAGATATGTATATGATGGACTAAAAGACAAGTTTATAACTGAAAAAAATACCAATATACAGTCAGACCTCTATAATTGCACTCTCCATAATTGCATCCACTATGTATACCCTCTCTAAATGCACCCTCTGGTTCGGTCCCAAGCTTATATGATCTCTAATTATTTTACCTCTATAAATGCACACCCTCTTTAAATGCACTATTTTGAAAATTATGCATATGGTTCCAAGGGGTGTGCAATTATGGAGGTCTGACTGTATTACTTTTTGGGAGTATGGAAAACGTTTCTAAAAGGATTAGATACATCAGACAAAAATGTGTCTTTTTGCATATTAAAAGATAAAGGGATTTTATCAAATCATGAATAATGTTCAAGAGGGTCAAAAGGCATGTTGCATGCATCCACTATATATAAACAGGTAGGATTGGATGGATAAGCCACATTTCATTGACTTATTCTTCTTTACTATCTTTACTACCAACTTCTTATCAATTTTTGAATTGCAAAAGTAATACAAGTGAAATATTTATCTCGTTTCTGTTTGCAAAACAAAATAACTTACAAACCATCTTAATCAACCAAAAGGTACTGTAGGAAACGATTAATTGGTTTGACTGACTGATTCTGAGAAATGTTTAAATATGACCATTCACACATAATTTATTGGGTAAATATGTATTATCTGTTATGTTATGTGCAATAAGACGTCATTGAAATTATATATGACAAAGCGAGTATGTCCCAAATTTTTTTCACGTGTATTAATTCCATTTTTTATTTATGATTGACATTTATTACTTAATATCCATTTATTATAAGCCCATACCCACCCCATGTAATATGTAAAATCTTATGGTACACATATGTTATATGATCTTCAAATACCCCTCACTCCTAGAATATTACGTAATAAATGTCACTGCCCTTATTGGAAAATGTGCCCAAAAAAAATATGCTAATCGCTTATTTAGTTAAATCATATAATGATAAAGCAAAGTCTATTACATATACTGCGTCTTTATTGGTTGCAAATGTGAAGAGTCTTCACGATTATCATATGATATCATGGTAAGGTTACGCATAGGCTAACGTTAATGCTTTATGTCTTTATGGCGTCCCAAGAATCTATCGTGCTACTTCTATCAAATTGTCTATAGAGTGGCGCCCAATCTTTTCCCTAACGAACCTGTGGTAAATCACCGAATTTTAAGTTCCAAATTGCGATTCAAAAAATTGATTTTCTCTAAAAAAACTTCTTTGTATATTTTAAAAATTTATAAAATGAATTTTTTTTTGTTATCAAAAGGGTGGAAATCCGGAAAATCAAGGATAATGAAGTTCAGTTCGGAAAAAAAAAAAACTTTAGACAAATAAAATGTCTGCTAAAATTATTTAAATTCACAAAATATAACCAGATATCTGCAAAGGCAACGAAATCATGAACCGAAATTTTGTTTTTGCTGTCATTTTATTGACTACGCTTTCCATAGTCAATGCTATTCCGCATCAACTTGAAAATATTACGTATTATCAATGTGAAAATTATCCCATACTCACTATATCACTTGAACCTAATCCTTGGGTTTCTGGAACACCAGAAAATTATACTGCTTCTGGACAAATAGAAAAAGCTACTACTAAAGAAACCATTCTTCTTATTCTTTTTGCTGTTGGAGGAAAAGTTATAGGAAATTTCTACCAACAGCCTATTCCAATAACTCCAGCTGGATCTATCACAGTAACAGCAAATAATGTTCTAACACCAGAATTACCTTCCACATATGCTAATATAGTTGCTATTTCGGATACAATTCATATTAAAGATATGTATGCTTGTGCGATAACTTATATTGGATATTAAGTCCGTACCATCAAATATGACAGATGTGTTTAATTCTTTTCTTTCTTAATAAATTTTCGCAAGCTACTTTTCTTTGACATTAAAAAATTTTTAACATATTATTTAGTTATACCGATATTATATTTATTATTAGATATTTTTATTCAATGTTTTTCGTGTACACAGTGAAATTTGATATAATGGTTGAACTATCCATTCCATTATTAAAAATTTAAATTCCATTATATCAAGAGTTCCGTTATATTGATACTAGATTAATTTATTATAGATTAATAATTATGCGTTTCAAACAAAAATTCCGCTACTAGCGGAATTTTTTGGGATTCCAAAAATTTCGTAATTAATTATCCCTAAGGAAACATTCCCACCCACAAGGATTCCTATCGAAAGATTTATATAGAATCCTTTAGGATCCTAAATTTACCATTAAGGGTTATCATATTTATCTGTTATTAATTATATCGGTCAATTTTAATTATTTTATTTAGTATTATTATTTATTATTTCCCATATATTATTACACGTCCTAATTATCAAGAACATTAAATAAAAATGGGTTCATTAATAAAATACTAAGACACATTATATATTAATTTTTAAAATTATTAAAAGTTACAAAATTATGTGATGATGTATAGAATATTGTCCTCTTGTAGAAATGTTCAGAGATTCGTTTTACTTTTTTTACCCTTATACAGAACATTTAAAAAAAGAAAAGAACAAATTGTTAGTTAAGTTCATCATAATAAAAAAGAGCGATAAAAATAAAAAAAAATATTTTTTACTTACCGTTATCCTATACTCAGAGAGACTAAAAAAAACTCCATAACTTGAAAAGTGTGTGAATCTTCGCATTGTCTTAGTTTTTCATTTAACCTAAAAAAAAAATGATTAGTAATGTTCGTTAATATAAAAAAAATTTAAAAATTTTCTTTTACTTTGAAGAGATTAACAAAGACCCGAATGACCTGCTTGGGCTGGCCGTTGTCCGTTGACCACATCTATAAAAACTTAGAAAACCTGCTAAAAAACGAACAGTTAGTGATGTTCGACAAATTAAATAAAAAACCAAAAAATTTATTTTTACTTACCGGTAACCGGTATTCACCACGCTCAGAGACTTGACCAGATTTTTTTCTATTTACCCATCTTCACGTCCAGAGACTTGAAAAAATACCTAAAAAAGAAGAAAACGAACAATTAGAAAATTAAAGAAACTTTTACAAGATTCTATTTATGTTCCAGGTTCCGTTATCACATTTCAAATACTCTCATATTTTAAAAATAAAATTTGTAGCTAAAAAAAAGTAGCAACGCCTAACAAATATTTTTACATTTTTTGTGCAAAAACAAACAATAGAAGTCATAGTATTATATGTGAAAATGAGTAGATGAATCTGATTACGAACGTGGTAAATAAATGATGATTGTTAATCGTTTTTCTTTCTTAATGTCTGCTTCACCTCATTCGGAATAGTTTGCACTAATTAATCAACCATGTTCTTAAGATTTTTGATAATTTACAAGATAATTAATTACAAGTGCGAAATTAAGTTAATATTAAAAATGCTTCTATAGTGAAGGGAAGGCCAAAAAGGTAAGGATATTTAGAGATGATGTGACAACCTTGTTTAGAATGTAAGGAGGAAATTATAAATTTGCTCGCCTTGTTTCTGTATGGATACGCTTTTCACATTAGATGTTGTCGTAAAGTTACGTTCTGCTCTGAACGTTGCCCGGAATGCCGGGCGAACGACTTAGTTTTAATGAAATGAGTAAAGAGCAAGTCACCATTAGATTGTGAATTAGGTTATGAAGTCTTATGACATTAGTTATGACGTCACTTCAAGATTATATAATCACCATTAGATTATTGATACTGTAATCCGAGAAAAGGAAAATATAGTCCGAGAAAAGGATAGGTTAATTCAAGAAAATGATAAGATGGTCTATGATAACATCAAGATAATATGGTTCAAGAAAAGATTAATTTTAATCCAAGAAAAGACTAAAATAATTCGAGAAAAGAATTACATAGTTCAAGAAAGGAAGAAACTACTCCAAGAAAAGGTTAAAATGGCCCGAGACATTGTAAACATAGCCCGAGAAAAGGTTAACATAGCCCGAGAAAAAGTCAACGTAATCCAAGAAAGAGCAACATAATCCGAGAAAAAGGTGATATGGTCCGAGAAAAGGATAAAATAGTTCAAGATGACCTATGATGCCATGATCCAAGAGAAGGATACCATGATCCAAGAAAAAGATAAAGAAATTCAGAAGATTTATAATATGACAAAACTCAAAAAATCGTTTAATTCAAGAAGGAATTCAATATCAGGAAAAAGATAAAGAAATTCAAGATTTAAAACAAAAGAATATTGAATTCAAAAATAATAGTATCTAAAAATCAATATGCTCTTGGATTCAATTAATTTCAATTATCAGATGATAACAAAATAATTTAGTTAATGATATATTATTACATTTGCCGAGTATGTAGAAAATTGGAACTTTACGTTATTGAATGAATATACATTCGTATATTTAAGTTTTATTTTAGGCTTAACGTGCAAGACTAAATAAATTTGGTTAATTAAAACGATAGTATAGGTTGAGGCGATGATAAAATAGGTAATATGATTGTACTTTCCTCGTAGAATTCAAAGAGAAATCAAAATTTCATATTTTTTAACAAAATAAATTCCAAGATTCATATATCGACCGTCAACTACGTCATGTAGTTTCATAGTAAGGAGGAACCTGTAAACATATACAGTAGTAGTTGCTTGCGCTACGAACTTCAATGTATGAATTTTAAAAAGAGTTGTTTCACAATGTAAAAACATTATTCTCTTTTGGAACAGAAGTTTTTTGATTATTGTTTTTTATCTTTATGAAACTTTCTGCAGTTTCTGCCCGTTATTCACATATTGGTATCATTATACACGTTATACTTAAATATTTATATGATAAAAGAGAGGATTTAACATTTGACACTAAATTCGAATGGTTTGGATTGAAATTAACAGGCCTTCAAATACTACATCTTCTGTTGATATGTTTAATAAAAGTTGTATTCAATTTGAAGTTTTGAGTTATGATATTGTTTTATCCGGATTTACTGTATTAGTGTTATTTTTAGACTATTTATTTCTATTTATTTCTCAACAGAAAAAGATTCCGTTCATGGGAAAAAACAAGTTAAATAGTATGTCATATTTATTTCAAAGATTATAAAGCATTATCGCTATTATACAGTATATGGTAACTAAATTATATGTATAACTTAAACAATTCCTATCTCCTTGTTAATTTCAAAAGTAGCAAGATAATTTTGTCCATCGGTTTCATTTCTCGCGGTGGCTGTAAGTAGTTCCATTTGACCAAATGATAGTGCAAAACTAACTCGTCTATCAGTTCCATTATTTGAAAGGTCAATCTTGAGAGTTCCTAACACTTCCATTCCATCACAATACTTTGGATCGTATTCTTTTGTGATATAAATATAAAATGTAGCAAAAGTTTGAAATCCACTAACAGGACATAAATTATATATACGAATTTCACTATCGATATCAACAATATCATCTCTTTTTGCTATACGATGAAATCGCTGTATGAATCCATTGGATGTTTTACGTTCTGGTGGGTCACCTTTTCTAAAAGGTTTAAATACTTTAATTCCATATGTGAAGTTGAGTTTTCGATTCTTTAATACGAATAAAACATCCTCATCATTTCTCATATTATAAATTTTATCATATAAGCTTAATCCAAATAATGTTGCTCCTCGAACAACTGCTGCAACAGGTTCCTTAGAAACAACGATAGATTTCACTCGATCTTTGAACTTTTCTTCAATTCTATTTTTCAAATATTTTGATTGGCCGAATCCTCCAACTAAAAATATAATCGAACATTCATCGCGACAATTATCAAGTTGAGTTCCTATCATCTGAATGATTTTTTCAACAATAGGGTCAAACATTGATTTGATCTCTTCAAATTCAATTTCAATCGACCAACCATTTTTCTCTAATAGTTCTTTAGCTTCGTCATTAACGAATTTCTTAAGAACTTTAATGACATCTAGAACATCTAAATCGTATTGAAAATCTGTATCTTCACCAGTAAAAGGAAATTTAGCTTTGCGACAGAAATGATCAACCATACGTTGTAGCGACTTGCTTTTTTTATCTCGTAGTTTATCAATTGTTGAATTTCCTACTATACTTCCTATATGTTTAAGGAATGCTTCATCTATAAACGAACTTCCACAATAATCACCGGCTCGTTCCGTAATTTCACCTAATTGATTTTCACCGACGAGTTTACGCGTGGTCAAATCTACCGTTCCACCTCCACAGTCAACGATCATGAAAGTTGCTAATGATATAATTTAAATAAAATTTGTTTTAACATTACAAACTAATTAACTTATCTGAACCGTAATTATAATAGTAGTATACTTACTTCCTATCTCGTAACTTTCCAGACAATTTTTCATGCAATAGATTGCAGCAGCTTCAGCTAATTAAAAAGATTTTAATTTTGAAATGCCTTCTTTTTTTTAAGTAATTATTTATTGCTTTAATTAGATTATTGGAAGACCTACGTTCTGTAGTAAATTGTAAATATTCGGAATTTTCTTCTTTAATTAAATCTGCTTCAGACGCACATTCTCTCATTATTGCTAATTCTTTCTTTGAATACTCCGCGGGAACGCTAAGAACTAAAAGAACGTTTTCATGAAACTTTATACCTTCTACGCTTTCAACTGTTTTTTTTATTAACTAGGAAAAAATTATATATTGTTATATGAAACAATACGTTTAAGGTTTAATTTAATTAATATTTGTTATTACCTTTCCCATTTCTCTAAGATAATCAATAATAGCTTTTTTAAATTCAACTGGAATTTTAGGTTTTAAATGATCTTGTAATTTTCCTAAACTTCCCAAATGTAATTTAAATAATCCAACAGATTTTGGTTCATTTGTATCATCCGCTTCGTTTGTTGTTCCTTTAATAAAGGCCGGTCTTCCCCACTTTACCACATTTTTAAAATTATCGTCATATTCGAGAACGGTATTTGTCTTATATTTGCCGACGTATCCTTCCCAATCTTTATTTGTATGAATTTCCCCAGCAAAATCGGTAAAACGATAAGCAAATCCCTACGTTAAAATTATTAATCAAAGAAATAACATATATTAAACACATTATATAGCTAAATAATTGAAACAAAAGATTCAAGAAATTATCAATTTAAGAATTTTAATTACCGAATACGTGGTTCCAAAATCTTTTATTATTTAAGAAACATATTAAATTTGCGTTAAACTTTTAAAATTTTAATATTTTTATTTATAAAATGTAATTACCTATGCCAACCACCACACGAACATCACTTTTCCAAGACATTTTCATAAAATCTCTTGAATTTAACAAAAAAAAAGTCCAACTATTTATTTATCTTATCAATCTAATGATATCATGATGAGCTATTAAATTTTTTTTTCAAATTTGAAATATTTCATTTAAACATCATAGAATTTTTCTTCATTTTACGTTTATGAAAAGCTTTTTAAATTTAAAGGAATAAACATTTACTCCTCAAAAATAATATAATTGGCCAAATTCTATTGTGATTTGTCATCTTTAAATCATTCGTGTGAATTTAAAAATATCAGTATCGGATTTCCAAAAGTGGGAACAAAAACCTAAATAAATGTGTCATGTGATTTTGTTTAAGCCTTTTTGCGAGGCTATCCATTTTAATATCATTCATACTCCATTATAAATGACGAGAACATAGGTCATTGATTTTTGAAAGACATTCTTTAGTTAATTTAATGAAGTACATTCATGATGAATTTTAAAATGGAAATTAACACAGGTTATACTTCATATTGTTTACCTGTATTCCCACAGATTGCATGATTATGCAGATTTCATCTTTCTCTGGTCAAAATAATCGGTTAAATTTCATCAATTTTGGGAACAATAAGTTCAAAATTTTATCTTTCTGAATTTGATAACTTTCTTTATTATTCTCTTTCGATAATAAAGTAAGGATGAAAAGGTTCTTGATTGAGCAAATATTGAGTAGTTCTTTTCGGTATTCGGTTCACATAATTTCTGACTCAGCTCTGAAAAGTAGTACTATATATGGAACCGTACTCAGTACAAGGCTATAATTACATCAAAGTAAATTGGATAATTCCGTGTTAATTAAAGTATGTCCGATATCAGTAAAGGTTTAGAGCTGATGTGCATATATACTTGTTATTCCATGGGTATCAATGAATAAATACTTGGTATTCCTTAATGATTTAGCAATCTAGATTGGAAATCGTTTATTCCGCTAACTAATATTATTGAGTAATAGTGCGGTTCCGTCAGCCCTGTAAAAAAAGTTGATCCGTTTTTTATATTCCGTCTTTTTTCGTAAAAGGCTCATATTTCCGGAATTAATAACCTTATATCACGGAATTTATCGAATTATTTACATTTTTTCCGTGAATGGATCCGTGAAAGGCTCATTTTTACGGAGTTTTTACAGAAATAACGAAAAAAATTTTTTATAATGCAGAAATGCATAGAAATTCTTTTGGTTGTAAATAAGTACGTTATAAAAAATCATTTGAGATTTTCAAAGAATTGTCAAATGTGAACCTAATTTGCTAAAATTCTTTGTTAAAAAAACCAGTAATTTATTAACAGCAATAAATGAATAGACCTGCACTTGATTCATTCCAATAATAGTAACTTTTATAAAGATGATTATCTGCGAGTGCCAATCTTCAAAGACTCATTGGTGTAATGAACAAGTTAATTACAAGGGAATTATATAGATAGATATATATATATATGGGGCACTAGGGTAATCATACAAGATTATTAAGACGATTGAACTGAAGGCGCACATAATCGGTAGTCATCTAAATCTCTTTTTGGTTTTAATTTTTTAATTTTAGTAATTTCTTTATCTTTATATCAACGTTCTAACGTAACATCACATGCATCATATGTAGATCAGCTGATCAATCGGATGTTCGGTTGTTATAGCTAACATTACTTCCGACATTCAATGAACAGAAAGCTTTCAAAGACGCAAGATTTGTGTTTTTCATAAGAAATTCATACGTATGAACAATCAAAAGTATAATAGAATTTATCAACGTTGATCTAACATAGCATGATAGCAACACATGTAGGTCAGTTGGTCAATCGGATGTTATAGCTAACATTACTTCCGACATTCAATGAACAGAAAGACTTCAAAGACGCGAGATTTGTGTTTCTTCATAAGAAATTCATATATATGAGCAATAATAGTACTTGTGTTACTACTTCCATAATTGAATAAATTTTATCCGGTCAAGTCAATGAATAATAAATAAATATAAGCCCAATATTGCGTTTTATCATCAAAAATAAAAAATAAATATATTCTAAATTGAATTAAAGTTTTTTTAAAATTTATTTCTTTTTTTTTATGAAATGTCTCAGAAAGACGAGAAAAAAGATAATGGAAAAAAAATCGATGAAATTCTTGTAGTAGTTGGTTTAGGTACAGTAATCATGTACTACTAGCTATATTTGATTGAGGATTACCATACTAAAGTATTTAACGCTTTATTTACTTATTTATTTATTTTTTAAAAAAAGATTTTGGGACATCCTCTTCGGTAATTTAAAATTCTTTAAATATTATAAAATTTTATTTTTTTTTATCATAGTTTATAAAACTTTCATTTGATAGGGATTTGCTTATTGTCATACTGCTTCTGCTAACCAAGAAGTTTGTACCAACACCGAATGGAATGGACATTCTGCTCAATTTAAAACAAATACAGTTCTTCAATATGATGATAATTTTGAAAAAGTGACAGAATGGGGAAAATTAGCATTTGCTAAAAAAGCTGAAAGAAAAAATATGGATGAAAATGAACCTAAATCTGTTGAATTATTTAAATTATATTTAGGAAGTTTTGGAAAATTAGATGATGATTTAAAACCCAAAATTCCGGTAGACTATAAAAAAGCTATTGCCGATTATCTTAGAGAAATGGGAAAGGTAAATATAACATTCATATATTAATAGAATTAAATTTTAATAATTTTTATTTTCTTTTTTTTTTATCTTTTAGTTAATAAAAGTTAGAATAAGTAAACATTGGCCAGATGTGAATTTTTATGAAAATGTTCTTCTAGTAATTAGCGTTCCCGCAGATTATTCGAACAATGAATTGGCGATAATGAGAGAATGTTCACTTGAAGCTGAATTAATTCGTGAAGAAAATAGTGAATATTTACAATTCACTACGGAACGTAAGTAAATTGACTATATTATTCGACCATCCATATTTTTTTTTTAATTTAATTTTATTTCATTCTTTTTAGCCGAAGCTGCAGCAATTTATTGTATGAAAAAATGTCTAAATGAACATTCTCTGGCTTCAACAGGAAGTAAGTACTGTAATCTATCGAATATAATTCGAATTAACTCCCTTAATCTATTTTAAACATTGAACTTTAAAAATGATTAAACAGCAACTTTTATGATCGTTGACTGTGGAGGTGGCACAGTAGATTTGACAACACGTAAACTTGTGGGTGAAGATCAATTAAGCGAAGTTACAGAGAGAATCGGTGATTATTGTGGAAGCTCATTTATCGACGAAGCATTCCTCAAACATTTGGGTAGTATAGTGGGAAATTCAACAATTGATAAATTACGAGATAATAAGATCAAATCATTACAATATATGGTTCAACATTTTTGTCGAAAAGTAAAATTTCGATTCACTGGTAAAGATACAGATTTTCAATATGAGTTAGATGTAATGGAAACCATTAAAGTTCTTGAGAAATTTGTTAACAGCGAAACTAAAAAACTAATGGAAGACAATAATTGGTTGATTACGATTGATTTCGAAAAAATAAAATCGATGTTCGATCCTCTTATAGATAGAATCCTTAAAATGATAGAAATTCAACTTGAAAATTGTCGAGATGAATGTTCAATTATGTTTCTGGTTGGAGGATTTGGTCAATCAGAATATTTGAAAAATAGAATTGAAGAAAAATTCAAGGATCAAGTAAAGACTATCGTCGTTTCTAAGGATCCTATTGCAGCAGTTGTTCGTGGAGCAACATTATATGGATTAAGTTTGAGTGATAAAATGAAAAATATGAAAATTAACGAGCAAGTAAAATTCATAATAAAGAATCGAAAACTCAATTATACGTATGGAATTAGAGTGTTGAAGTTGTCTAAAAAAGGTGATCCACCAGAACGAGTAACATCTGATGGGTATATACATAAATTTCATCCGATAGCGAAAAGAGGAGATGTCGTTGAATTTGATGAAGAAATTCGTGTAAATGATTTATGTCCTGTTAATGAATTTCAAGAAAGTGCTACATTTTGCATTTATTTTACAAAAGATGTTGAAGCAAAATATTGTGATAAAATGGAACTATTGGGAACTCTTAAGATTTACTTTACGGATCGTGGACCTGATAGGAAAGTTAGTTTTGCATTGTCATTTGGTCAAATGGAAATACTTAAAGCCACTGCAAGGAATGAAACGAATGGGCAGAATTATCTTGCTACGTTTGAAATTAAAAAGGAGCGTTAATATGGGTTAAATATAATGAGATGATAGTTGAGTATCTTGAATAATATTACACAATTGATAGCTATTATATTTATTGATAAGATGTATAAATTTATATTTAAACATAATCGTCTATTAAATAAATTTGATTTGTTTCAATTTTCAAATAGTATACTACAAATATCTTTATATTGAATTTATATTAATATAAGCCATCTGAAGAAATATGACGTCTGAAATCACAAAATTGAAAATAATTTCCGGACTGAAAGTAGCTGCATTAATAAATCGTAAATTGTATAATATTAATTGCATCTCATTTTATTGATAGCCAAGTTGCNCTTATCCTACAAACCCAATTTTTAAGAGATTTACTGATCAGATTTTAATGAAATTTATATCTTTGGATTCGTCTTGATGCAAGGAATTAAATGGTAGTGAAATCATATTTCTAAAATTAATATTGACTGATTTATTATAAAAAATGTATTTTTATACTATATATTATTTGAAAGTAACATGTTAGCAGTTAGTATTCAGTAATAATTATATTGATTATTTTATTTGAATTAATAATTTTGATGATATCTGCTGATATTGTTTTTTTAGATTAACAGTTAATTAATTCCTGGTTTGTAAATATTATTTTATTAAATATTTATGCAATAATAATAATGGCAATTTCTATTTGTACACGGGGTGTTTGAACCCGGGTCATGTGATTATTGCCATTTTGACTAATAGTATAAACTTCAAAATTAGTAGATAAATGGATTTTTGCCTGCTCTACAAGTTTATCTAAGGAATCAAAGGTGCTTTTGAATGTCAGTTTTGACTTTACCTATGAATAATTGATTTTGCCGATCGCTCTTGAAAAAATTTAGGAAATGATCGGCAAAGACAGTTTTTCATATATTAGTCAAAAACGGCATTCAAAACCCCCTTTGATGCCTTAAGTAAACTTGCAGAGCAGTCAAAAATACATATATTGCATAGAAAAAGTAAAAGGGTGTGACATTGGTGTCATTATATTTCACATGACCCGTGTTCAAACACCCCGTGTAAACTTTGAAATTTTCTTTTTTTTAAAATATAAAAATATATATATTCTTTTTGACTTGGAAAAATGATATGGTTGGTATAGGTAAAGCGGGCTTGAAATATTTCTTCCTTTATTTTTTTTAAGATTTTGGAACCACATGTTTAACATTCTTAATAATATTCAGGTTTTTGTTTCGCCATTACGAGTATATGGTGTACAGTATTAATAATTTGAACAATAATAATAATATAGGAATTTGCTTATTGTCAAACAGGTCTTGGCAATGAAATTTAAATAAATAAAGGTAGGGCTGGTAAGACGAATACTGCGGTTGATTATAAAAAAGCTATTATTAGTATTTAGAGAAATGGGAAAGTAATATTAACAAATATTAATTAAATTAAACCTCAACCGAATTATAAGGCCTAGAGGATGTGAAATTTTATGAAAACATTCTTTGATCCTTAGCGTTCCTGCAGAGTATTCAAGGAAAGATTTGGCAAAATGAATTCATTTCAAATTTTTTTTTTTTAATTAGCTGAAGCTGCTATGAAAATTTATCCGGAAAACCACGTAATAGGAAGTAAGTATTGCACTATCGTAGTTATTTCAAATTACAGTAGTTTGTCATGATAAAAAAATTTTTTTTTTTTAAATAATATAATTAACAACTTTCATGATCGGAAGCGATACAGTAGATTTGACCACGCGTAAACTCGTTGGGAAAAATAAGTTACGATGTGAACCGGTGATTAATGTGGAAGTTACTTAAATATATAAGAAGTATAATAGGAAATTCAACAATTGAGAAATCAACATATGGTTGATAATTTCTGTCGCAAAGCTAAATTCCCCCTTTTACTGGCGAAAATACATCCGAGCTAGATGTTTTGGATGTTATTAGAATTCTTAAGAAATACGTTAATGGAGAGACCAAAAACCGACGGATGAAAATAAATGGTTGATCGAAATTGAATTTGAAGAAATAAAATCAGTTTGATCCCAATGTTGAAAAATCCTTAAAATGATAGGAACCCAACTTGATAATTATGTCAATTATGTATCTAGTTGATGAAAAATAGAATTGAAGAAAATTTTAAAAATCGAGTAAAAATTATCGTCGTTCCCACCCGTTGCGGTGGAACAGCATTATATGGACTAATATGAAAATAGCAAGGACGTAAGATTCGTATTAAAAAATCGAAAACTTATGGAATTAATGGCGACCCATCAGAACGAATAACATCCGGTGGGACAATTCTATTGTGATTTGTAATTTTAAAATTATTCGTGTGAATTTTAAAATATCAGTATCAGATTTTCCAAAAGTGGGAACAATAACCCTAAATAAATATGTCATGTGATTTTGTTTAAACCCTTTGTCGCGAGCTATCATGCTTATTATCATTAAAAATGACGAGAATAATAGGTCATTGATTTTTAAAAGTCATTCTTTAGTAAATTAACGAAGTACATTATTCATTATGAATTTGATAACTTTCTTTTTCGATAATAAAGTAAAAGATTCTTGATTGAGTGAGCATTGAATAAGTAGTTCGATGCGACTCTGTTCGGTTACTTCGGTATTTCAGTTCATATAACCTCTGACTCGGCTGTGAATAGTAGTACTACGGGACAGTACGAAACCGCGAACTACTTAATAATATTTATTAACAAGCATTAAGGAACACTATTTGATATGCACATGTAAACCTTTGTGGATATCAGGCGTACTTTAATTAACGTGTAATAATCACGTACAGAGTCAATTACTATGATGTAGTTATAATTACATACTTCAGAAGTGTATGGCAAAGCTTTTGTAAAATGTTTATGTCTGTAAAGTACGTGACGTCTTATAAAAAATCATTCGAGATTTTCAAAGAATCAAATGCGAACCTAATTGTTCTTGTTAAAAAAAACGGAGATTTATAAAAAGTCATCAATGAATGGGACCTGCACTTGATTCATTCCAGTAATAGTAACCTCTATAAAGATGATCTGATTACCTACCAAAAAATGATCTGTGCTAGGGTTAATCATACCAATTTTGAACTGAAGCATATCCGCCGATCTGCAGAATGCATATTATATAAAAACCCATCTAGCAGTGCCAAAATTATCACATGCATTCTGCAGATCGGCTGATATGGGTACACAAAATCAGTGTCCATCACTCCATCTAAATCTCATTGATTCTAATTTTGTAATTTCTTGTCTTTATATCAACATTGATCTACACTGTTACCGCTTTCGAATGGTATAGTTGCAGTATTACATTCAAATGATTTAATGAATAGAATAGGAATTCAAAGAATGAAAGAAGCGAGATTTGTGTTTCCTGATAAGAAACTCATTCGTATAAACAATTAAAAATAGAATAGAATTGTAATTTTGTGCTACTTCCCTAATTAAATAAATTTTATCCGGTTAAGTTTTAATGAATTAATAAAATAATAAATATAAACCCCTCAATAGCTTAATGTGATTTATCATCACAAATAAATTCTTCTAAATTGAATTAAAGATTATTTTTTAAATTTATTTCTATTTTTTTTTTTATGAAATGTCCCAGAAAAATGAGAGAAGAGATAAAAATGTTCATGATATTCGCGTAGTGGTTGGTCTAGGTACAGTAATTATGTACTATATTTGATTGAGAAATACCGGATTAAAAATAATAAAATATTTAACGCATTTTTATCTTTTCCTATATATATGAAAAAAAAAGATTTTGGGACATCCTATTCGGTAATTTAAATTTCTTTAAAAATATTATAAAATTTTAGCTTTTTTTATTATAATTTATGAAATTTTTGTTTGATAGGGATTTTCTTATCGTCATACTGCTTCTGCTAACCAAGAAGTTTGTACTAACACCGAATGGAGTGGATATTCTAGTCGTTTTAAAACAAATACAGTTCTTCAATATGATGATAATTTTGAAAAAGTGACAGAATGGGGAAAACTAGCATTTGCTAAAAAAGCTGAAAGAAAAAATATGGATAAAGATGAACCTAAATCTGTTGGATTATTTAAATTACATTTAGGAAGTTTTGGAAAATTAGATGATGATTTAAAACCGAAAATTCCGGTAGACTATAAAAAAGCTATTGCCGATTATCTAAGAGAAATGGGAAAGGTAAAATCTAACATTTATATATTAGTAGAATTTAAATTGTTAATAATTTTTGTCTTTTTTTTACCTTTCTTTTAGTTAATAAAAACTAAAATAAGTGAACATTGGCCAGATGTGAATTTTTATGAAAATGTTCTTCTAATAATTAGTGTTCCCGCAGATTATTCAAAGAAAGAATTGGCGATAATGAGAGAATGTTCACTTGAAGCTGAATTAATTCGTAAAGAAAATATTGAATATTTACAATTCACTACGGAACGTAAGTAAGTTGAAATTGAATATACAATTTTTATATTATTTGACCATCCATATTTTTTTTTAATTTAATTTTCATTTCATTCTTTTTAGCCGAAGCTGCAGCAATTTATTGTATGAAAAAATGTCTAAATGAACATTCTCTGGCTTCAACAGGAAGTAAGTACTGTAATCTATCGAATATAATTCGAATTAACTCCCTTAATCTATTTTAAAACATTAAACTTTAAAAATGATTAAACAGCAACTTTTATGATCGTTGACTGTGGAGGTGGCACAGTAGATTTGACAACACGTAAACTTGTGGGTGAAGATCAATTAAGCGAAGTTACAGAGAGAATCGGTGATTATTGTGGAAGCTCATTTATCGACGAAGCATTCCTCAAACATTTGGGTAGTATAGTGGGAAATTCAACAATTGACAAACTACGAGATAAGAAGAGTAAATCATTACAATATATGGTTCACCATTTTTGTCGAAGAGCTAAATTTCGATTCACTGGTAAAGACACAGATTTTCAATATGATTTAGATGTTAAGGAGGTCATTAGAGTTCTTAAAAAAATTGTTAATAACGAAACTAAAAAACTGATGGAAGACAATAATTGGTTGATTGAAATTGATTTCGAAACAATAAAATCGATGTTTGATCCTCTCGTAAATAGAATCCTTAAAATGATAGAAATTCAACTTGAAAATTGTCGAGATGAATGTTCAATTATGTTTCTGGTTGGAGGATTTGGTCAATCAGAATATTTGAGAAATAGAATTGAAGAAAAATTCAAGGATCAAGTAAAGACAATTGTCGTTTCTAAAGAACCTATTGCAGCAGTTGTTCGTGGAGCAACATTATATGGATTAAGTTTAAGTGATAAAATGAAAAAATATGAAAATTAACGAAAATGTAAGATTCATAATAAAGAATCGAAAACTCAACTATGCATATGGAATTAGAGTGTTGAAATGGTTTAAAAAAGGTGATCCACCAGAACGAGTAACATCTGATGGGTATATACATAAATTTCACCCGATAGCGAAAAGAGGAGATGTCGTTGAATTTGATGAAGAAATTCGTGTAGATAATTTATGTCCTGTTAATGAATTTCAAGAAAGTGCTACGTTTTACATTCATTATACAAAAGATGATGAAGTAGAATATTGTGATAAAATGGAACTATTGGGAACTCTTAAGATTTACTTTACGGATCGTGGACCTGATAGGAAAGGTAGTTTTGCATTGTCATTTGGTCAAATGGAAATACTTAAAGCCACTGCAAGGAATGAAACGAATGGGCAGAATTATCTTGCCACTTTTGAAATTAAAAAAGAGCATTAATAAGGTTTAAATAATTACACAATTTATCAATTTATCATATTTATTGATAAGATGCACAAATAAACTTTAAATTAACTTAATCAAGGTTTGAAATATCTTTATTGATTTTATATTATTGTAAATCATCTGATGGAATACGACGCCTAAAGGTCCGATAATCCGATAACTACTACTTCAAGCTAATAATTTTTCACAAAAATTGAAAATGATTTCCTGATTTAACGGATTGAAAGGAGTTTAAGTTAATAAGGCGTAAATTTTACAATATTAGTTGCATCTTATTGTATGAACCAATATAATAATAATAATACCTTTTTTATAAAACAGAAACTTTAAACTTGCAAATAATTTAAAATATGTAACCAAATTTAGGTCATCTGACCAATAATTTCGGTCAGACAATTCGCTCAAATAGTCCCGTTATTGTTTCCATTTCTGGAAAGAAATTGTGATATTAGATTTTTATCACATTCAAATGTGCAAATGGGTATGTAAAATAAGATTTTAATACATTCTAAAAACGCGATATTTGTCATTTGTGTAATTTTGATAAGAAACAATACAAAGAGATAAGGAATAAAATAGAATTAATTGATTATATTAACAATTCCTTAATTTAATAAACTTTTTCCGATTGTGTTTTCATGATATTCGTGCAGTGATTACATATATATGAGTAAAGGATGATTTAAGAAAATTTTGAAATATTTAATTAACGCGAGCTTGAAATATTTAAAATTTGGAACCACATATTCGGTAATTAACATTCTTGATAATATTCAAAGCTTTTGTTTCACCATTACGAGTTTATGGCGTACAGTATAAATAAATGATATTTCTTTGAATAACAATTTTCAACGACTTTACTAAACCACACCACTGGTGCTCAACACCATAGTATGCGTTTTCATGAAAATTATAACTTAAATTAAAGAAGTCACTCTAATTAAAATTGTTCAGCACCCCTGAAGAAAATGATCAGAAAAAGTTTACTTGTTTGTTACTTTTTTTTTTATACCACAAATATTGCAAAATAAAAAAAAATTGTTTCCATTAATAAAATATTATAATTCATATTGCAATATTAAATGCTATAGCATATATTTCACATATATTTTTCTTAGTTTTTCACATCTTAATTATACTATTAATAACTAATATAGAATAAAAAAATAATTAATACATATAACTGTGGTGTTGAACACCAGTGGTGTGATTTATAATTTTTGTTTTTTAATATAGTATTGTTATACAGGTCTAATGGTTCTACTGGTCAATATAAGATGAATACTGTCCTCGAATATGACAAAGAATTTGATAAAGTGAAAAGTAGGAAAACCATCATTCTCTAAGGGAACGCCATTTAAAACTAAAATTGTAGGCGATTATAAAAAAGCTATTACTCATTATCTTATAGAAATAGCAGGAAAGGTAATATTAACAAATATGAATTAAATACGTATATATATATATATTCTTTACAGTTTGTAACAGTTGAAAATGTGAAGGGCATGAAGTTTCATGAAAACATTTTTTTGGTCCTTAGCGTTCCTCAAAGAAAGTATTGACAATAATGAAAGAATGTGTGAAGCCGATTTAATTAAAGAAGAAAATTTTGAATATTTACAATTTACTACGGAACGTATGTATTCTAATTATAAAATTATATAAACAATGAATTAATCTCAAACTATTATTTTTTTAATTAGCTGAAGCTGCTACAATCTATGGTCTGGAAAACCGGTGATTATTGTGAAAGTTCGTTATTGATGAAGTATTCCTGTTGGAGTATTCCTTAAACATATAGGAAGTACAATTGGAAACTCAACGGTAGAAAAACTACGATTACCACAACGTATGGTTGACCGTTTCTGATGATGATACAGATTTTCAATACGAGTTCTTAGGAAATACAAAAAGCTGATGGATGAAAATAAATGGTTGATTGAAGAAATATAATCATATGTTTGATCCTATTTTTGAAAAAAATCTTTAAATGATAGGAATTCAACTTGATAATTGTCATGATGAATGTTCAATTACTGTATATATCTGGTGCCAATCAGAATATTTGAAAAATAGAACTTAAGAAAAAAAAACTATCATCGTTCCCAAAGATCCTGTTTCGTGGAACAACATTATATGGACTAAGTTTACATGATAAATTCAGTTATGAAAAACAGCGAGAGCGTAAGACTCGTACTAAAGAATCGAAAACTTAACTTTACAAAGTGTTGAGATGGTTTTAGAAATGGTGAGAATACATTCGATGAGTTTATACAATAATTTCATTGTATAGCAAAAAGAGATGTTGTTGATATTGATAAAGAAATTTCAACTTTCTCAGATTAGTGCTACATTTTTATCTATTTTTTTTACAAAATATGATGAAACAGATATTGTGATGGAATTATTAGGCACTCTCAAGATTGATCTTCCGGATCGTGGATCTATAGACGAGTTAGTTTTGTCATTTGGTCAAATGGACAAAATTATTTTTTGAAATTAACAAAGGGCTGCTTAAGTTTGAATTATCATTTTATGACACAGTTATCCATTTTTTTTTTATCTTTATTTGAAACTGCTATATTATATATACAGTATAAGTATATATAAGAAAAAAATATATAATATTAAACAAATAAAGTGAAACATTATTTCTTATTAAACGATTTAAAAATTTTACCAATATTTATACTACTACTTTTACTGGTTTTATTAGTTTTATTGTTTTTGCCATCTTTACTTTCTTTACTTTCTTTACCTTTTTCTTCGTTAACACCATTTTCACCATTTTCTTCTGATGAAAAAGAATTATCATCACGAATAAAAACTTTTGCTGGAGTGTAAATTTGTAATTCCGTTGAGTAAGAATTAGGATCTTTATAAATAAGAGGAAAAATACATATTTCAACAACTGCATTTTCAAGATCATCATCATCCCAGGATCCTGTCATTTGAATTGAATCAATTTTATCATTATTGTTAAACCATTTCCATTTCGCGATTGGTTCTTGAGTTTTAAGCCGAAAAAAAAATAATTTAACAACTTCTCGAATAATTTTAGCGGCTAGCTCTTCACACTTTTTTTTCTTCTTATGATCCGATATTTCCCTATAAGATTCAATTTCTTGATTGAGTTGTTTCTTGAACTGACTGATGAATTTATGCTCGCTCTTTACTTGTTTATCATTAATTATATCAGAAAATCCATAATTGCTTAATGCTGAATAAATTTGTTGTCTTATTTTAATAGGTACAGCTGAAGTAACTTTACCACTTTCAAACCGTGTTTTCGCGAATTTATCCGTTAGATTTATCAATTCATTCACTTTGAAATTAATTTCTGATTCAAGTGATTGAGGTTCATCAGTATTCTTAACATCCTCGAAATATTTAATTGCATTTTCATAAATGAATTCAACTACATGTCGTTGTAATAATGCCTTAATGAGAGTTGTATCTTTAATTCGAGCTTTCATTTCTAAATTACAATTATAATGAGCGAAAAGTTTGTTTACTTTTTTATAATTAATCTTTATTTTTGATCTTAAGTTGGTGACATAATCTTCCAACGTATCTTGTAAATGTTCAATATCTTCATTTAACCTGACAGAATTATTCTTATCATCATCGCCTAATTGAAAATTTGTTGCAGCTCCAAGTGCAGATTGGTATTTTAATGCTTCAGCTTTCAAATTTGAATTAGTTTCTTCTAAATTCTTTATTTCATTATCTTTAGCTTCAACTAATTGCACACTTTTTTCTATTTCATTTGTTTTTTCTTTAAGTTGTTGTTCAATTGTTTGTTTTTGTGATGATAAAGAGTTAAACTTTTCTCGTAATTCTTTATGAGATTGAAAAAGTTTAATAAATTCTGAAAGTTCTGCGTTGATTTTTTGATTATTTATTAAATTATTTATTTCCTCAAATTCTTCTTTTAATTTCTTGTTTTCTTTACTAAGTGATTCAGTCTTTTCGTAATATTCACGAATAAGAGTTATAGCATCTGAAACATTTTTATTTTCAAAATTTTCAAAATTTGTAGATTCTTCAATGATATTTGAATTCTTAGTTACTTTGATTGACATTTTTTATTTTTCTCTCCCTTTCTTTTTTTTTTTAAAAAAAGTCAGAGTTTGCTTTGATGATGAGTATTTAAGTATAAAAAGAAGGGGATAATTAAGAATATTGTTTATAGCATAATGTAGCACAAACATTTCTTCATAGAATCATAGAATAGATATTTATCATCACAAAGGCGTAATTTGCCAATGAGGGCTACTTATTTGCGGGACCCTTTGTACTATATATTGTATATGCAGATTTTGTAATTCAAAAAACTTTTATGTATTTTGTTGACCAAATGCATGAACAGTGTTCCAATTGTTCCAATTTATTTCGCAACAGGTCGGTCAGGTTTTAAATATTTATTACGTAAAATAATATCCTATATTAAATCAATATAGTCGACAATTTTATGCTGATCATGTGATATTAAATTCTTATAACGAACCCGGCAATCAAATTCTTCACTAAAGGACTTGATTATATTTATATTCAAATTAGTTTATAAAAGGTTGGAATAAGAAAAAATTTTCATTTTGGCTAGATAATTAAATCATAATTTGCGCATTATTTGGAAATTGATACATTTGACATGTGATTATTTAAAAAAATTTTTTCTAATTATATTTAGTCTGAAATTAGGAATGGGGAAATAACGTAACCAGATATATCCAAAAATAAATTATTATTAATATTTAAATTAGGGTTTTATTTTTTATCGCTATAGCGATATATCGCCAGTCCATATAATCACGTGATTTACATTGCATGTGACTTATCGTTAATTATACATTTTTTATTATATTAGCAAGAAAAAAAAAAAAAAAAAAAAAAAAAAGNAAAAAAAAAAAAAAAAAAAAAAAAAAACTCTTTCCCCTTTCCATTTTTTCACATAGAAATCCGCAGTAAAATACTGTTTTTTTATTTACACCCCTTTTACGTTTTCAACGTTCGAGAAGAAAGAAGACCACTGGGTGGCTTCTTATGGAAAGGTTCTTCTCCTTATCACCCGTCCTTTGAAAGAAGTTTTTATTATATTTTCACCATACCTTTATAAAATACATTAAAATATGGTTTTTAGTTCTCATAAAACTATCCCCTTGGGAAAATTTTCTTTCAACGTTTCTTTCCACAAATTTCACGTGACTAGACCCAAACGGGCTGGATGTAACAAGATTTACGAAATCAGAAGATCAAAAAGTTTCTTTTTTGAGTTAGCTGATCCCTCAGCAAACACCAATGATATTCATCTTAAAATACACACAAATGATTACCACATGAAAACAACCCCTATTAGCTACTCTTCCACCTGTAGCTTTCCTAATCTGAAATTTCAGATTAGTAAGATGTTACAACATTTTTTTTCTCATCAAAAAGTTATCCCACGTTCTATCCAAAAGAAATATTTTAATCTCATTCGTTCAAAACTACTCAATAGATATTTTCTTGTCAAATCACGTGCTGATAAAGTCACACAAAGAAATTCCCGGACAAAAACTTTCTTTAACTTTTCTTATAAACGTTATCATTTTTATTTTGGTATTTTTACACCATGTAACTTCTCCACTGCTTACAATTTTGGAACTGAACACACACAGTTGTGTTGTGTCCCCTCCCCTTACATTATGTCTCACAATAGACGCGCTTGCGTCTCTCACCATAAACATTTAGATATTTTTCACAATATTAAGAAACCTACCCCGTTATCACATAATAACGTAAATGACAAACGGTTTCATGCAACCCTTACCTTTAAACAATGGCGCTATCATGCCAAAAAACATGTATTTTCAAATCGTCTCGGAATTTCCTATGACGTCTCATATTTAGCTAATGGACACAAATTCCTTCATACGTATAAGGATCGCCGTATGTATCGTAAACGATTGAACAACTTCTGTTCATCTCACTCCGACAGTAGTACAAGGAGTAAAAAACAAAAATCCCGTTTTGAACGGGCTATTAGATCAGTTTTCAACAATCGCGGTAATAACCAAAATTCTCATAGACGCGTGGATACTCTTGAAGAAAAGCTTCGTCAAGCTAAACACTATCGCTTCCTATTTTTACCTTCACAATATGTTAATAAACCTTTACAACATTTAAAATATCACAAAAGACTAGTGCTCTGAGATGAGACACATTATAATTTTCCTATACCACCTGATTTACACAAACCTCTTGGCGTAATGTCTGCTACCGTCAAGGCTAAAGAACCACCTTCTCGACCAGATCCAGGGAATAATTCATTTAGTACTTCAATTACTCACTCATCTGCCACCACCTCACAACCCATTCTTTCTAAAGAAGAGAATACTTGGCATGAAAAGTTGGGCATCTGGATTCCTAACGATCTCTTCCCTTACGTAACTGACGAACCTGTTTACACTTCTAACAGACAGGCGAAAATCAAAGGTCAACAATATACACCAGGATGTTATTACTGGTTTCTTGGTATTAGAAAACGTAAAGAAGCTCACGAACTAGCTGTGCGACAACAAAATGAAAATGAAGCATGGGAAGTTAAACGTCTTGCTTATGAAGATGAACTCTCTGCTAGAGCAAAGCTCTGGGGTACCTCCTCTAATCGTGTAGAATATCGTGAAGATATGACCAAAGATCTCACAAAATTTCAAGATCACTTTCACAAGAAAATTACTCCTTTAATAGACCGCCGTTCCGTTCTACAGAACAGAATCACGCAAGGAAAAAATGTTTATAAAACTAACAAACAATTGCTCCAATTAGAGCAAGAATTAGGTCATTTTCACATTGACTATTTCTCGGTCATGGATGACCGCGAATCTCATTATCGGTACAAAGGACACACATCAGATGATGCTAAACAACTCAAACTTAGACCACATAAACGTCCCCCTATTCCGCCTACAAATATCGATAGGCATAACACGGAGATCAAAAAATCGAGACTAGATATCCTGTCTCCTGAAGACTCTAAAGTCTTCGTTTTACGCTAACTCCTTTCGAATACCACTATCAGCTTTTAATTTTTTTTCTTTTACTTATTTAGTGGCACGCTGATAGTTATAGATTTACGTTATTTTAGCCACTTTTTTATTATTGACTTGTATTAAATTACATCTTTTTTTTTTTTGGGTAACCCCCCACGTACGAAATTTATACCAACGTACAACAATTAGAATAGTGTGAACCATTCCACCTATGACAGTATTTACAGGTGGCGGTCTTTAATGACCGAAAGAAAAATACGGATCGTTTCTTAGTTCTTAGATTTGATTGTGCTAAAGCNCAAAGGACTTTTTACTGAAGTTATTTTGCCAAAAATTTTAAATCATATTTTTCCAAATATTCAAATGATATTTACGAAAGGGTTTTATTTTTTATCGCTATAGCGATATATCGCCAGTCCATATAATCACGTGATTTACATGGCATGTGACTTATCGTTAATTATACATTTTTTATTATATTAGCAATTATTAGCGAATAAATAATTTACAAGTAAATAATATAACAAGCAAATAATGCATTATTGTAAGCGTTATTATATCTCAATAAAAAAATCAACTAGTTATTAACTGCTTCTTCCTAATAAAATGCATAATGATAATCATAGTATAAATAAAAAGCAAAAGAATCGTAAAAAGGCTATACGAAAATACCTTGCAATTCTTTTGATAATGACCGGCCAACCCACATCTTTTACAATGACGTTGTGTTTTTGATTTGGTTTTATTTGCTTCACAAGAAGATTTAAAGCGTTTTGTGCCTAATGGTCAGCTTTTTCCATGACGTATCTTAGGATTTTGTAACTTTGGTATTAAAGGATCAAAATTTTCCTTATCACCTGTAATGATTTCTTGTTGCAACTCTAATTCATCAGAATCTGATGGATTTGATTCTTCTTCCTCTGCAAAGTTTTGTAATAAATTGATGAGTTGCTCTGATTTAGAATTAGACTGCAATGCCTTGTTCAGAGCCTTCTTATACATTCTGTGTAATTTGCCATATGTAATTTTTTGTTCAAGAATTGTCAATCTTTCTTCATCAATTTCCCTATTATTCCGATTAAATAAACATAAACTTGAAGAATCATTAAAATCATAAGAAAAATGTTGTTGATCATATTGTATAAATTTATCAGCAACCAAGAATGGTTCTTGCGATCCATCTTTGTTTATATTATACCATCGCTTTGGAATAAATTGAATATGAAAAAAGCTTCTTTGGTAGCTAACATTACTTGAAAGTAATGTCTGCAAATTATTCCACTTTGTACGATTGAAAGGCAACGGGTTACACGATCTTTAATTATATGAAAACCTTGACTCTTTGCCCATTCATTCAAAAATTGTTCACATTCTTCCCATGACGTAAAGGTCTTTCCTGAATACAAAGATACAGTATCATGTTCATTGAATAATATAGGTTGCCCACTACAAATAACTAAAAAAAAGAAGAGTTAAATACTTATAAACTATAAACAAACTAACCCTAACCCTAACCCTAACCCTAATTTCTAACCCTAAATCCTAATCCTAAACAAACTAACCCTAACCCTAACCCTAACGCGATCCCAACACCAATATAAAGATAAGCCTAATGCTTATTATTAACGTACCATTATTAGGACTTTCATGTCTACTTTCTTCGTCCATATCATATATTTACCATATAAAAATAATACAAAAGAGTAAAAAAAAAGTTTGTTTATGAGTAAAAGGAGTGAAATAAGCAAGGATGTATTGGTCGTTATTAATGAAAGTTTAAAATTGTTGGTAAATGAGGAGACAATCGTGAGAAAAAATAACGATAATCTTTTTTTCATAATCTAATTATAGTTTAAAAAAGTAAATCACGAGTTTAAATCAATAAATCACATGATCTGTATAGACTGGCGATATGTCGCTATAGCGATAAATGACAATTTTCTTTAAATTATATCGATTTTGTTAAATTATATTTACTTAGCTCAATTGAAATCGTAAATATAACTAGCGATGAAGGTTAAGTATGTTTTAAAAATTAATATTGTGAATAAATCCATTATAATATAAGAAATAGAATTTTTTTTCGTTCCAATTCATTTATATAAGTAATTAGGTTATATAAAGTATTATAATATATAGAATTTTGATTTGATCCGTGAAATACATATATATATATATTTGTTTGTTAATATATTATTACAAAATCAAAGTTATATTTATTATTATTTTCAATTCAAGGTTGATAAAAGTATAGCGGAATCTCTTGAAAATAAAGTCAAACATAAGCATCTGATTCAATATTATTGAATAAAATTTGTTTCATTAAATTTATATATCCCAACCTAATTATTGACTGGACATCTTCATACTTATCGATTTTGTGATGAAGTAGACACTCGTTATTAAGAATCCTAATTTCAAATTGGAACATGAATCGTTACCTGTTGACAAAATCAAGATTGTAGCTTGTATTTCAAAGAATCCTGGTGAAACTGAAATCAAAAATTAAAAAATATTTTTTGTTTTAAATGTATTTTCCGCTGCCTTTATTTTTCATTATTTGGTGAGAAATCCTTTAATAATATATTTGTAAAGTGATGATAATTAAAAATATTATTCCAATTGATCTCAACAAATTATTACAAACTTTATTAAAATAATAGATTGCATTATTAATTAAAAGCCAATTAATTTTGCTTTGTTCCAAAATTATATTTTCCATCTTCATATTCATGTCCTGGAACCCAATAAATACGCAGTAAGATATTCAGGAAAATTATTGCCGATTGCTGTGTTTCCTGTAAAGACTCATGTAATAATAATAATAAAATAAGACCCTTTATTGATCCAAGGGGCACGATCCAAAGTAATCCTTTTCAGCTTTAATACGTCTTTTGAGTTCGCCAATTGTTTCGTTTTCTTTAATTTTGATAGAGATTATATTTCTGAATGGCTTTCCTAGAACCAGACAATTGATGTCGACAGAACGCATTTTTCTGTGTTGGCAAAAACACATAAACGGTTGTAGTTTTCTGTAATTATGTTATCAAAATTTTGACAATATATACTAATAGAATTGATAAGACAATGATACCTGTACGTTTTATTAACTTTTTGAATGAGTATTGCCGACCTATCTTACACGAAACACACAGTGTCAGAAAATAAATAATAATTCATAACAATAACCTAGTAAAGCCCGCCGAAATTTTATGTTATTTGCATTCCGTGATCTAGTAAGGTCCTCAGGAATCTATACGAAAAAAATAGTCTTTAGTCGCGAGCTCTGAAATCGTTTCTTTGGGCACAGCCGAAATATTCATACCTTAATTGCGCATTTTCTCGTTCAGGCTTTAATGTTTTTAATAATTTCTTGTCAGCGCTTCCTTCAACGAGGTCAGACTCAGAGAAAATAATACAACAGTTTTAGCTGCGGAGTAAGAAAAAAGTTATATGTACAGTACATGTATAACGTAAGAAATCTAGTGGTGAGAAAACAAAATAACAAATACATGAAAAATCTTTTAAAACAGTATGATAATATATTAGTTATTATATGATTTATAATATTGAATTAATAATAAAAGGAATTTTACGGAAGCGTTTATTTGATTTAAAAACTCTTTGGAATTAAATAACGAAAATTTCAACGCGCCATTTAATTTTATATAATTTACCATACAGCATGCATGTAATACGCGGTTTTCAAATCTTTTGACAATTGATTTTTGTAAGAAAAGACCTTGATCTACGGTCTTTCTCGTTGCATCCAGAATGTATTTGGTCTGTTCGAGACACATCTGGTTCTCCAGTTCGTTCTGTTTGAAGGTATTAGGAAGTATTATATAATCAACAACTAAATTTCAAAATATTATATAAAGACAATGTACCTGTTCCTTCTCTCATGCAACTTAAACTCCGCTAGAATATTTTGTCTTTTCAATTGAAGATCCCAAAAATGGTTTATCTGATCTGATAATTTATCATTCTAATAAAAGTATTTCAAGTTAGAAAAGAAGAAAAAAATGACAAATTTATTGTAAAGAAAACGTAGGCAAATCACGGAAAAGTCGCAACCTTTCCCGCAACCAGTCGCAACCAGCACGGTAGTTGATAACAATGTAGAACACCACTTTGATCATTTATGATATGCACACCGACAAGTCGCAATCTTTCTCAGTACAGTCACAACCAGTGTGGTAGTTGGTGTCGCACAGTATCGAATAAATGAGTACACTTGCCTTAAATTGTTTTAACCAACTTATCGCCTTTGCCCCAATTTCAGAATTTTCACCATGGTAATTTTTAATGATTTCCGATTGTATTGACGATGCTCTATATCTCTATCTTTCAAATCGTTTGCTTTTAATCGGAAATCTAAGAACTTTTTTAACGAAAGCTCATCCATAGACTCCCAAAAGACTACATATTTTTACAAATGAAAGGTTACGCAAGAGTTATCATAAAAAAGACTAGTATAATTGTCTTACCACTGTATTTTAGCTTGTCGGCACATTTAGGTAAAAGGTACATTTTATTGTGTCACTAATTCTTAAACAATCTTTGATGTAAATTATTAATATTATAATTTTTTATGTCAACGATAAGAGTCTACATCTCTGTTCATACGTTATTATTCGATATACTAAGAGATACAGTAATTAACAAAAAGAGCCAATCTGTATATAAATGGCAGAGTTAATATAAATAATAAAATTAAACTGAAATACTGTAATAGTTTGATAGAATTGAAAGATCATCAAAACAAGAAATCATCGACTTTATTAATGATGATGTGATGATTGCAATGATTTCTGCAACAGATAAGAACTTTTTACAACAAATACTAAAGACAAAGTTATTGATGCAATAAAAAGATATAACCAAAGACTTATCTATAAGTGAGAATAATATCATAATTTTAATGTACCTGTGATTTATTAAAATTAAAATTTATTTAAAACGTTGCCACATGATTGAAAGATCTAATTAAACAGTTTCAGCAAAGGAAGACTATTACTTATTTCTTCTTTATTAGTAAAGTCTGCATAATCATAATATTTGATGTAATTCCTGATATTGTTTTTTATAAACAACCAATATAAAGTGTTTATCAACCAGGAATTGAATATTTAGTTACATCATCTTACAACAGGATTTACTTAACTCCTTGTTAAAGTTAAAATTAACTTTCATTGCAAAATACAGACTGTACGTCATAAAAAAAGTGTGTAATTTTCAATGAATACCCATTTTTTGGTTACTGTTTAAGTTTATAATGATGCAATTTTTCATCTAATCAAAATCAGCCAAATCAGAATACACGTAGACGGAGTTATAAATCCTAGTAAAAAAAACATTATATAAGCGCTTATTTAAAACAGTTAATAAATGAAATATAATTTTTTTATATAAAAAATTATTATACCTACTATATACAAATCTTATTATGAAAATCAACCAATAAAAAGTAAGCTTTCAAAAATTAATTAGTTTATACACATGAATTTTCTAAGAAAGTTTTACCATTCGAATATTATTTGACCAATCAATGATATTTAGCTGATAGTATAATTAATTTATTAATTTGCAATATATTAAATATATCAGATATTAAATTTTTTTTAAAAAAAAATAGTATGTGCTATACAATTAACAATTCGCTTAATTAACATTATATAAACATCTACTTATAAGATAACAATTTAATGAAAAAAAAATTTTGAAAATAAAATTTTGTTCTAGTAATTTAAAAAGTATAGGCGATATATACAATAAGTAAATAATAAATCAATTTATAATTTATTTTATTAAAACACTAATCTTCATATTCTACGATTCACAATCAATGAACCAAATGGAAATTTAACCAAGTACATTTTATATCTGTTCATCACTTTGACTCTTAAATCTTTTTATGGACTGAACAATAAGCATTTAATTTCTCCTACATCCATCTGTACTTCTAAAGATTTGTGTTAGTCCAATATATCTGATTATATAGAAACATGTCATGTATAGAGGCCTATGTATGTACGTATAGTGGTCAATGTATGGCAACGTCCGGTATACATCACCCTACAGTATACATCACCCCACCATACAGTATGGTAAAAATGACCATACATACCGTACGTTGATCACTATACGGACATACATAGGCCTCTATACATGACATGTTTCCGTCGTATCTCACTTTTTCTTTTTTTAGCTACGTCAGTTACGTCACTAATTAAGTCAATGAAAGGTTGTAACTCGTGACGTAGCTCGATATTATATAAAATTTCTCTGTGAACATCTGCACTTCTGCAGTGGTAACTTTGTTACGGCAGTTACGTTGGTAAAGTTTGCAATTCATGTAGTGTTGGGAGTAGTTTTGATAACGAAGGACTACTCTCCAAAATACTTTTTTTAAAAGTAGTAATTAGAATATTCTTATAATAATATCAAATATAAATATTAAATGTAATTCGTACCGACTTTACTTTGATTTCAAAAGATTGGCAATTTTCTTCTATAATTTGTTTCTAACAGCTTTCTACATAAAATTCTACAAAAATTGTTTTATGTGATACTAATGTACACAAGTCTATGTCGAAAATTACATCAGGTATCAAAAATTTTTTTTCTAGTAAGCTGAATTAGAAACTAGGAAAATGGGAAACCATCAAAGTCCATCGCAATATACATGTTCATTATAAAAAAAAAAAAAGAAATAACATGATTTGAGGATTTAAAAAAAGGAAATAGTGATGATTTTTGTGAAAGGACGCATTGCAAACTTGTCTCCAGATAGTCCTAATTTGATGGTTGACAATTCACCAGTAAATATCAACGATCTTTCCTAAATGGCCTACAACCATAATTGAAATGTGCCCAATGGTCCATAATTTAATTAAAAATATAACAGCAGTTTGTCGCTGTAGCAAGCATTAGTCATGCCAAGATAGTCTATAATAAAATTTAAAAGATTATATTAATAAATAATTTTTTATATTAATAACATTTTCAGTATACATGATTTGAATACTATTGAGTATTGATAACATACGGTATTTGAAAAAACATGAGCCATCAGCTCCAAACTTATATCCGAATTAAAAATTTTCGTTTAACAAAACTCTCCGTGGAGGCATAATTATCAGAACATGTAAAATATCTAAGAAAGCGCCATACAATATTGCAAATGAAATTTGGATACATAAATTGCGTATAAGGAAATATAAAGAGGAATGAAATTTCTAATTCCAAAATCTATCATCGAGAACCAAAAATCCAAGTGGTAATAATACAAGTTGAATATAATCATTTTAAATGATAAATTGTAATAATAAAAAAATTTAAATAATGTACAACCAAATATTTTTTAATAAGATTGAAAGAACTGATGCACTACATATTTGACTAAAATCTTACGATAATTCTGAATTACCATAATTTGTATAAATTGAATATCATTATAAATTTTTGCGTAATTTGAAACACGTTAAATTATCGATACACATTGTTATTACCAGATGAAGTCGTAAACCCCTCTATATTTATATCTTTCTCCTCACCACAAGTCTTCAAAATTAGTCTAAAATTGACTTCAATTTCCTCTTTCTCATTTAGTATTTCAGAACTTGGTACTTTTTTCAGGTGTCTCGCTTTCATCTGATATTTGATTTTCTCCCGATGTGTTTTTAATACTTGATCCTCTTCTTAAAATTTCTACTTTATTTTCTTCAATTTCTACTTGTTTTAAAATTTTTAGAGGTGTCAAATATTAAAAAGGAGTGTAAAAAAAGTTTTTAAAGGAATATAAGAATATATGTAATAAAATTTAATAAAGTATAAAAGGATTACAAGAAATATGTGATATGATTTGTAGTTGATATGACGGTAAAGAAGTTAGTATTGAGGTAGAATGATTAAGGATTAATAGAAGGTGGAATGAGAAAGGAGGTTCCGCCAATTCGTTTCTAACTATAATGGTAATTACCTAATAATATAAATATAATAATATTAATAAATCAAATTCTATTTAGTTCTAATAAAAATAAATTGCTCACTAAAAGATAAATCAAGAGTTCGTTTCGATACCTGACTGAATTTCTTCATACATTGTTTTCAGTGTGATGGGAATACAGACAGGGGACACATTCTATCTTCTAGCTAGTAGTTTAAAATAGAGGGAGCTAGGGAAAGATGGTATTAGGAGTGAGACATCTTTAATAACACTTATTATGGTGCTCTAGTTTGGGAAGGCTGGTGATTAACTTGCCACACTCAATTCTTTATTGATTCTCCCTTGAAGAAAAGTTCTATATGCTGCAACATCATCCATCATTCTTAAACGGTGATTAATTAGTTAAAGAAAACTAAATATCGAACTGATGTTGCGCTAAATAAGCATCAGTCTTAACAGCAATTTCATAGCATGATTAGGATCCTGAACACGTATTACCGAACCAATTGTCCAAAGGTTTAGAATATTTAAATTATCTTCATGAAGATAATGGTAAAATGCTTGATCAAGATCTATAGAAGTGAGTTTTAGACCATCATAGAGTTTATGAAACCATAAGTCATCACGTCTTATAATTGATTTCACTAAGTCTGTGCTTTGGCTGTAAGACACGTAGCGGTTTAGTCTTCACAAATTGATAACCGGTAATTGAAAGTTGTTCTACTTAAACGTATTTGTTGCTGTTATTGATATTCAACAATAGTACTATCCGATCCAAATGAATAAAGTGTAATTTGTCAATGAGAGAAATGCAGAGGAATTTTGTACAATAATCCAGCAAGTATCAATTAAAATTTTAACTTGCTTGTAAGTTGTAAATACTCAACGAGGCCTCAAATTATAAATATTCACCATTGGTCTACTTTATGTCATCACCATTATTTGTTTCGTCCAATTTAATAATAAGGTTAATAAGGAATATGTGACAACGTAAGGAAAGCTCTATTTTTATACAACTAGTAATAAATCAGGTAAAAAAAAAAAATCTTCATAGCAAGGAGGCTGACTTAGAGGCGTTTAGGTAATGGTATCTTATGTCATTATCCTTTCGTGATAGCAATAAAATGCTAAAAAAGTAATTTTTCTCGCAGATATATTCTTTATTTCCTGGTCTAAAGATGGATAGAACATAATTCTATAGCATGCTGTCTTTGCGAATGTTCCATCAGAATTTCGCTCACGGTTCCTGATGTACCCAAACCAGAGCCAAAACAGACGATAGCGCTGCGAAAATATCTGGAATCGCTTTGTTTAAACGATCAAATATTAAGTCGTGAGCTATTTCTTCGTCTTGGGACATATATGCTGGATGTTTTGTTTCTCAAGCACGGTGTCGCCCTTTTGTCAATCCTGTAGACGAATCTGCTTAACCAAATCGTTACACGTTTGATGGATTTGACAACGGTTGAACATAATCTTTGGGCAGGAGAATACGATGGTGCAGTTTCAAAATTCTATGATGATTTAGCACAGATTATTTATAATGCATTCAAATTCCATCGGGAAGGTTCCGTAATATTCAAAGAAGCAGATTCGATGCTTGCGTATTTTGTCGATTTAACAACGAAACTTTCGAAACCACCACATGATCTAAATAAATTGGACTTCGCACTTGCTCAGATTGATGCTAAACTCCCTCATGAAGAATTTGGTGATGTTTGTAGTGTAGCACCAAATCTGTCTCTTATACACATCTAGATGTGTATAAGAGACAGTGTTTGTAGTGTAGCACCAAATATTGAGAGGTATTCATGTTTTCTTAATATTTTTTTTTTTTCGCGTGTAAATTAGTAAAATATATATAACACCTTTGTATTCGTTCCGCCAAGTTACAAGGAGCGGTAGTAACGTTGCAAAACTTCCCCATGCTGCCGCTGAACGTTTAGATCCGATGTCATGTCCTCTTTTTGACACATTCGAACGTGGGAGTCTCCCTCCGGTTAGATTTCAACCAACATAAACGCATTGCAACTTTGCACGTCTCTACATCACAAGGGGTTCAAAGAATATTTGTAGCTCCTTTTCTTCTTGTATGTTGTTCAAGTTTTCATTTGCCACCTCAATAATTCTTTCCTTTACTGCTAGCTCCTCTTCTAGTTCAGTTTTTTCTTCGTTACAAAATAGCAAATACCTTTCCTTGGATTGAAATCACACTATCGGTAAGTTGACTATTTCATTCTCTTGTCATGATATGAACGAACATATTAATGGTTGAGAAAAAAGTTCCAATTGAATTCCTTTCCATTTTGATCAATAAAAAATATGTAATTTACATTAATTTATACATTAATTATGCCATTGTTAAAAGGGACTACAGTAATAGTTTCTATTATGAATAGAGATAATGTCAAATAGTCGGTCAAAAGTTATATTATTGGAACTTGTGAATGTAGATATTGCCGGTATCATTATAGCAAAGAGAAAAGAGAACTATTTTTGCTAAATCAAAGCTTAAAAGAAATTCACTTAAAGGTTAGAAAATGCTAAATACATATAAAAATTTCTTTTAAAATAGACCTAAAAAAAACTTACTCCATGTTATAAATTGTGTGAAAGCTATGATTTTTGCATACATCGTATTATGTGTTAAGGACTTAAGGGTGACTGTGAATATTTATTCTAAACACTTTCGAAAAATATTATTGGTTGATCTACAAAATTAATCGAAAGTACTTATCACGTGAAATTTATTGCAGTTTAGGCATCGTGCATGACTTCCGTTCTTCGCGTTGTTTTCACCTTTAAATAACAATAAACAAGATTGATTGTTCAGCAGTGTGAAAACGTTAAGTGATTAATAACAGAATCCCAATTATTAAAATTAAGCAAAAATAGGTGCTTATAAGGAGGCGTTCTTATATAGAGTGATTATATGGAGGTTTGACTGTATTCATACTTTTGGTTAATAAATCTAACATTGATAAATTGTATCGAACGACGCCCGTTCGTATTTGATGAGGCTTGTGCGGTCTTTGATTATATGGAGGTCTGACTGTATTATGACTGAAATACTTTCAGAATGACTTGGCGAAATATGTCGAACAACATACTTACGTATTTAATGATGTCTTTCCTTTTCCAAATCTTTAAGAGATTTTAATTACATGAACTCTCTGAGATCTTTGTGATATGTTCTGTCAATAATTATGCGGTCTTTGATTATATGGAGGTCTGACTGTATTATGACTGAAATACTTTCAGAATGACTTGGCGAAATATGTCGAACAACATACTTACGTATTTAATGATGTCTTTCCTTTTCCAAATCTTTAAGAGATTTTAATTACATGAACTCTCTGAGATCTTTGTGATATGTTCTGTCAATAATTATGCGGTCTTTGATTATATGGAGGTCTGACTGTATTATGACTGAAATACTTTCAGAATGACTTGGCGAAATATGTCGAACAACATACTTACGTATTTAATGATGTCTTTCCTTTTCCAAATCTTTAAGAGATTTTAATTACATGAACTCTCTGAGATCTTTGTGATATGTTCTGTCAATAATTATGCGGTCTTTGATTATATGGAGGTCTGACTGTATTATGACTGAAATACTTTCAGAATGACTTGGCGAAATATGTCGAACAACATACTTACGTATTTAATGATGTCTTTCCTTTTCCAAATCTTTAAGAGATTTTAATTACATGAACTCTCTGAGATCTTTGTGATATGTTCTGTCAATAATTATGCGGTCTTTGATTATATGGAGGTCTGACTGTATTATGACTGAAATACTTTCAGAATGACTTGGCGAAATATGTCGAACAACATACCTACGTATTTAATGATGTCTTTCCTTTTCCAAATCTTTAAGAGATTTTAATTACATGAACTTTCTGAGATCTTTGTGATATGTTCTGTCAATAATTGTGAGGTTTTTGATGAGGCAGGGGATTGCATTAGAAAGTTTCTTAATAGAAGATTTAGATTTAGAGGCTTTTGATTATTGAGTCTTGGGAGTTTAACCAGTTCTAACTGGTTCTAACTAGTTCTAACGAAATTTCAGTTCAGAATACCTCAAATGAACAAGCCAGATCAAGAATTATAACAATTGCAAGGAGGGAGAATTTACAAATTCAACGTGAACGAATTCATTGGAGAAGCCAATTGTGAAATTCATCGTCTTGAACTCGTTAGTCATTACCAAAAAGTTATTTTAGGAAAATTTGCAACTGTAGGATCTTTTGTAAAAGCTGCTGATGCAATATCTTCCGTGCCTGCATGGTTATAGTAATGGAAGTTTAATAATACCTTATTGATGAAGTTGTGATCAAGAGTGTTTTGCGTGTAATGAGAAATATAATTTGATATATTTTTTCTTTCTTATATTGTGAAGTTAGGGGAGTTGATAGTAGCGTATAATTGAATGTGTAGTATTTATGTCTTAGCTTGGAATGTTAAATTTTCTATGAAATTGTTATAAAGTGTTTAGTGTAGGACGAGGATCACCATTTAATGTATTTGTAGTTAAAAGAGATGGGAAAGTGTACGAGTTGATGGGTAACATATAATAGAGTGTGTTCTATTTATTCCTTGGTTATATGATGCGGAAGAAACGAGGAGTGTTTGATGTGCAACATGGATTATTATTCGATGTATTTTTCTTTTTTATAGTTAGAGAAGATGAGGAAAATATGAGTTGATGGATAATGTATAATTGGTTATTTGCTTTGTCTTGCGATGTAGAAAGAACGTTAAATTCCTTATTGATGGAGTTGAGCTTGATGCGCAACGAGATTTGTTATTTGATGTATTTGTGGTTAAAGATGGGGAAGGTTATAGTTGACGGATAGCGTTATAATTAGTATTAGTGTCTTGGCTTGGAAGGAACGTTAAATTCTTATGAAGTTGAAATCAAGGGTGTTTGGTGTGCAACGAGGATTATTATTTGGTGTATTTGCAGTTAAAGGAGATGGGAAGGTTGGTAAATAGCGTATAATTGAGAAGTGCGTAGTCTTTATGTCTCAGCTTGGAAGGAACGCTACTTCTTATGAAGTCGAGATCAAGTGTTTGTGGAAGAGGATTATTGTTTGGTTTATATTTTTATTTTTACCATTATTATCTTATATAGTTAGGAGATGGAGTTGATGGGCAGTGAATAATAAAATTCCTTAAAGTTGAAATCAAGAGTGTTTAATATGTAACGAGAATTATTATGTGATATATATATTTTTTTCTTTTCTGCCTTTAATGCTGGAAAGATCAAACTAAAGAGACACTTAAATGTGAATTCCTATTGGGGATGTTATATTAGGATGTGCCGATGTGGCCACATAAGACGTAACGTTGAATGCTGGGAAAATCAAATGGAACTTATTTGTACGGAATTAGTTACAGTAATGAATGTATGTAATAAATTTTTTTTTTTTTGTTTTTTTTGGTAATATCTTTAACGCGATTTTTTACGTATGTTGTAGATTCAAAGCTGCCAGAAACGCGTCGTGCTGTTGCAATGTAATTTTTTCATCATATTCTGAAACTTTGAAAGGTGTTCGTATTTTTCAAAGAATTTTGGTCCAACTTTAAGATCGAGAGCCATCTTATCAAGAAAGGCAACTCGGATCCAATATCGTGCATCTATTAATCCGGAAAGCCGAACGTGTCGAGTTCACGTAGCTCGCCAAATGGTTTTGAAATGATCACATTACATTGCAATCGATTCTCTCCACACGCATAAGAAACATCCTTCAAAATTACGAGAATTGCATTGCTTCATCTCTACATTTTTTAATATTCTTTGCATCCATTGTAACGTGGAGACGTGCAAATTGCAATGCGTTTCTGTTGGTTGAAATCTAACCGGAGGGAGACAGAAATGAAATAATTGATCAAACTACGAGACTTAAAACTTAACAAATCAGGTAAGTTTATCATAACTTATTTTAATGCTCTTAAAAATAAATTAATTTTATTAATTATTTTTAACTCATTAGGACATTGTTCCAAAGGCATCCGGTAAGTAATTATATATTCTGATTACTATATAACTTTACCTTGTTTTTAAACTTATGATATTAATTTTTTTCTTTTAGTATATAATTGAAGAATATAATGAAGCTACTGGTTGTCCTAATTGTAATATTTTAATTAACTGAATAGGTTCAGAATTTGTCATGTATTAAAATGAAAGTTTAATGTATAACGAAAATTATTTATTATAAATTTGGATTTTAATAATAAAGAAATCTTTTGATTTCCGTAGCGTAAATAATTTAAATTTGATTGCACTAATTTATCAAAAATGAAAGCAACCGAGATGATTTATAACCAATTTCTTGAGCAGTTTACTGTAATTATGCGTAATAATGATTATTGTGAGCGATTGATTAATACATGGTGGCGAATTAACTCACGGTAATTTGGCAATACACCGTGCTAATGCCGAAATATATACACCAAATCTGATCTAAAATATAAAATAGTACATGCCGAATTGCCGTAATGCCGAATTGGTAAATTGACATAATGTTTTGGTGAACAGATTTGATACCCTACATGAAAAATCTTATAATTTTAATAATTTACAGCTAAATGTAAAAAGAATGGACCACCCAATTCATTTTCATCTCATACGCATGATCAGCATAATTCGGGCCAAATCGATATTCCGTGTGTGTCGTGGGAAAAGGGTTAATTTTGGCTTTGGCTTTTTAGCCTTCGAAGAAAAAGTCTTCAAACGTACAGGAACATGACGAGATGATAAATCACCTCAAAATGGACATCAGGCGACATCATTGGTTTTCTTGGTCAAAAATTAATGATTACGATTTAATCAAGATAACATTGAAAAATCTGAAAAGAAATGTAAATAACAAGGCCTTTCTTCGCTGGACCATGGGAATTCTTATGAATGTACTACAGGTGAGTAATTATAAAGCTATTGTGTCTTTCAATGGTATCATGATTAATATTTTTTAATAAAGGTGAACACGCAAGTACTTCTACATCTAATAGGTTGATTTAACAATATTCCAGATAAACAAAACATATAGTCGCCATATTAAATTCAAATTTAAATTTACATGATATTAAAGTGACTTTGTGATACAATAGATTATGTCTGATTACGCTTGACTTTATTTTATTTTATTTTATTTTTAAGTTGACTATAATTCTTTTATTTTTACTTTGCCGCATAACTTCAGTATGATCATTCGATGATCAAAACATAGCAAGTTATATTTATTGAAATAATAATAAAAAATTCACATAATGAACGGACATAAATTTTTATTGGTTAATCTAAATTTTTTACAAATTTTTATAATTTTCATTGACTAATTAATCTGATTTAAAATACGCTGCATGCAGTGTAACTGATCAATTACTATTGGAGCTGATAACGACCTTAAAAAGGCTATCTTATAGGAGCTTCCTAACGCTGAGAACGTAAAAGCCACTCAACTCACTCTATGGAGGGTCAACGTTGCTTCGGGTGATTTGCCTGTCTGATATATAATCATATAATACCAAACACTTTGCTTCTTATCGTCAAACTCGCCCAAAAAAACACATTCGCGTTATTGTAGACTGTAGAGCAACCCGTTGCTGGTAAGTGAGTCGTAACAAAGTCAACACACATATTAACTTTTTATAACCATTCAGCTTACACTGTTTTTTCTCTAATTCCTATTATACAGAGTCTCACGGCATGTACATAAAGATTGTGCATGAAAAGCTAACGAACTTTTGGAAAGCTTTGAAGAATACATTATTTATATGGATGATGATAATTTGCTCTTTGAGCTATCTGGAAAGTCATTTTTTTTGGAAAAAATAGCGAACCTTCAAAACTCTTCATTCGTAAATATCATAATGACCTAATCGCAATAGTTTTTGATGATAATGTAAGATGATTGCGTATCTCAGGAAACCCGGGAATTGGGAAAACTTTCTTCGGATACTACCTGCTTTATTATCTCGCAATATTAAATCCGTACCACGAATGAACCAAGTCGAATTATTTTATTTGATCACGAAGAGGCCTTTTATCTTAACAAGACTTGATGATTCTAGCGTTTGGTATATCGTGGATGGTAGAGATCCAGATATAGTTGAGGCCAAAACAATTCTTACCTGCTCTCCATTGAAAGCTCATTACAAGGAATTCAATAAAAAGATTCCAACCGTACGATACATGTCGGTGTGGTCCTGGAATGAAATCAATATATGCAGGAGTGAACTTTTCAAAACCTTAGTGTTGATAAGGTTCATAAGTTGTTTAAAGAATGGGGAGGGATCCCTAGGTATGTTTTGGTGGGTGTTCTGGACATGGACATTCAACATCAGCTCAAAGATGCAATTGGATTATGCGATGAAAAAATATTTAGATATATTGGTGGAAGCGATAGCAAAGATGATGTAAGTCGCAAACTTGTCCATATTTGGACTAACTTACCAGCAGAGAGATGATGCTGAAAATGAAGGGGTCGAAGATGATGAAGAAATTGGAGGTGGCGAAAAAATCGAATACTAATATTACTCCTAGTAAAGATTATATTAGAGCAACAAGTAGATATTATAATGAACCGTCATTTAGTAACGTGTCAATTATATACGCAGAAAATTGCGTCTGATTATGTGGTTGAAGAGGTAACTAGGAATGTCAAAAGGATAATAACGATAAATTGTTTATGGATCTAGATGAAGTCTTGAACGTAGGCAAAAGTAATTCAGCCCTAGGCAGTTATTTTGAGTCAATCGCTCACCAGATGTTACGACATGGAGGAGACTTTGATGCTCGTTCCTATAGATTCCAATGAGAAACACACGCTCACGCTTCCTCAACGGGACGAACATAGGTTTTCTAATATTGATGAAATTAAAAATAATATGTATGAACCATTAATCACACCATTAGCTGATGATCAGACCCATCAACTGTACCTGCAAAAAGGCTCTCTAGTGATATAGAAAGAGAAGGAAGAAGTAAAAAAAGAAGTAAAAAAAAGAAGAAACAAAAAAAACGCGAATTTTAATTATTATACGTGTTAAGTAAATGAATAGAGTAACATATCATGAGAACTTTGTTTCGAATTCCATTTAATTATATGCAAGTGTATCAAAAAATTAAATAAAGTATTTGTATTTGCTCATATCGGGTTCGTGATTTTTAAAGACTGGACGTATATAATAGAACACAATGCCTGAAAGTAAACGTCTGATTAGAAAAACCTGACTGAACGCATATGCCAGATAACATAGAAGCTTGCGAGCAGTATTGTTCATAGAGGAAGGCTTTATCGCGAAGTCTATTAACATATTGGATCACATATAATCATTGCACAGCATCTTCGGCTAAATACATAAGTAGTTTTAAGTGATACTGAAGAATTTTATTGTAACTCTTTGTATTAAGATATTTTCAGAATGCTAAAAAAAAGAATGTGTTGAATGCATATTAATTAAATATATTTTATATCATATAAATAATTTGTACTTACAAGGTCTCCGTGTATAAGCAAACTTAAGTTGGCTCTCCCATTTAAAAGTTATAGTATTCAGCATATTAATTAGAAGTGGCGCAGCGAAACATTATCGGCGTTCGTATTACATTATACCTAGGTTGTCGATACCCAAAACAAAACGTTTTTCTGCGTCATGATTTGTTTGGTGTACAGGAAATTACATACCGGATTAAATGTAGTAGATACCGGTATCGTTAAAAGATCCGGAGATGGAAATGAACTTCCCAAAACCATTTGCGTAAGTCCCATGTTTATATATATATACAGTATATATTTATATATAAATTTTTTTGGAATTATCATCCTTCATTACGATAAAGAAAAAAAAATATGATATATTACGGATAATGTAACAGGCCATTCATTTTGATCGTATTGATTATGAGAATTATCAGAAAATAACCATTATATAACGAACTTGATCGTAACAATTTGAATGATTTAAGTAGACCTAAATAATAATAATAAAATTGGTAATCAGGTGATTTGATAAGGAACATAATGTAATGGCTGTAGACATTGTTATTCTCAAAATAAAACGGTATGTGTATGAGCGTAGTATTCCGCAAGATCTTGTTGGTGATGATATGATTGCAAACCGGAATTCCCAGTTACCACAAGAGAATCTTTATTACTGTCGTTATTAGTTGAATATATTGTATTATTCATACATGAAAAATATTTCGACAACATTTCGTTATCAATCATGTGAATATCATCGGATTGGGATTGAGATGGTTGCACGTGTTCTAAAATATAAAATTCGCAATAATTATTAGAAAAAATTAACGGTTTAAGAGCAAAAATAAAAATAAAAAGAAAAATGGAAAAAGAATAATAACATTAAAAAGAAACCCGAGAAAAGAAACTTTTTAATGAATATTAAATATTTGGTTACTCCGGATTCTGGAAACAATTTTTTTTTTTTTCAAATAATAATTATAGTAATTGAAGATTGGAAAATGATTTTAATTTTAAAAGAAGGGGGAATTTTTTAAACATTTTTATTCAATTATGCTACCTAAAAGTAGTTGTCTTCAATAAGGAAATTCTTTGGTAAATTCCCCATTATAAAAAAAAGGAGAGAGATGAATTTATGTGTAATAATAAGAGGCAAGAAAAATCTGTGATGGGGGAAATAAAAGAAACGAATTAGTAATTACTTAAATAAATGCAAAACGAAAAATAAATGAGACGTAATTCACGTTATAGAAAAGGATTTGATTTATAAAATCTCATAAATTGTTGTTTTTTCGAAGATGAAAAAAAAAAACAAGTAGAATCAAATCGAATTATTTTAATCTGTAATTAAACTTTAAATCATTAGACACACAAAGAATAATAAATTATCTTGTTCAATAATAATTTAACTTGCGGAATAGTCGAAAATGACGAAATGGAATCAAAGATTCACGAATGAGGTTAAGTTCATTAAACCAAATCGCAACTAAAGATGATTTTTTATTTTACTGTAAATCCGGAATTAATATTTGTACTTATGTGTAGATTTTGAATTCAAATATCAAATACCACCTCTATATGCGTGCATAAATAGAAAATATATATACAAAACTTGAGATTTGCGTCAGCTGACAGCTAACTGCGTCAGATAACGACAATGCTGGCCAACCTACTTAAGGCATTATAATATTGGGCAATATTGGGCCGATAATGTAGACCGGCGTCATCTGACGCAAATCGGCATCTGACGCGATACCATATTTTTTTATATGTGATATATATTATTGAAACTGAAAATTCTCTAATCTGTCAACTGCTTTAAATTCATGAAAATTTACTATATTCTTTTCTTGAACAATAATCAAAATTACTATTGATATTCCATATTATCCTCTAAAATACCTACAACATTCCTACAACTAAATACATCTTTCCATTTATTCATCCTATTAGTATTATTTATTTCATGGGAGCTGAGAATAATAGGGTTTCTCTTCCCATGAAATAAATGGGTAATCGTGTCACTAAATATAACGTGATTTTTAAACTAAAATTAGAGATTTCTCGGTGACCGGGAAACAAGTAAACTCATTTATAAACTCAGCCAATTTTCAAAAATTAGTACGATGAGTGACACTTAGCAGTTAGTGCGACTATTCATGCATCTAATAACCTATGAAAAAAAAAAAAAATACTCAAATCATATTAAAGTATATTTTAAGTGTAAATCTTTTACACTTAAAATGTATTTAATAATTTCAATTATGTCTAATCATGAATGCTTTAACCAAATTTGTTTAATATAACTATACTTATATAATGGTAAACAATAAAGATATAGTTAATTATAAATCATTTAAGATTATTAAAGATGTAGAAATTCCTTTTTTTATATATTATATTATACCATAACACAGTTAGTGGCCGAGTTTTGCGATTACATAATTACATGCATGTCAATAATTAGACTTCCGTATGATCAACATATGATTTAACCATAAAAGTAGAATTGTTTAATAAGACTTAATTTAATAATAAGATTTTTAATTTAACAAATTCTCGATAATAATATTTTTTAATTTATAATCTTATATCACGTGAACCAAAATAACAAAATAACTATAAATATGAAGTCTTTTTTTTTTTAAAAAAAAAATTAAGAATATTTTCTTAAATAAATAAATTATAAAACGAAATCTTCAATAACAATGGATCCAGCTTGTAAAAAACTCTACAATGTAATTAATATCCTTATTAATCGCAGTCTGATGTTATTTTAATTTAGTTATGATCATACTAAACCTTTTTTTTTACAGATTGAACAAGTATATATATGATGTTCAAACGGTTAAATCTGTAAAAGATTATTATGGTAAAGTTTATTAAAACAAAGATTTAAAAACCGGGGCTTGCTGTACAGAAGAACCTATTCCGGCAAACATTGAAGCAATTATAAAAGATATTCATCCCAAAGTAATTTCCAGATATTATGGTTGTGGTTCTCCTTTCCCTCCTGCATTGGAAGGAAAGCCAGTTTTAGATTTAGGTTCTGGTTCTGGTCGTGACTGTTTTTATCGAAACTAGTTGGTCCAAATGGTAAAGTAATTGGAGTAGATATGACTGATGAACAGCTTGAAATTGCTAATAGTTATATTTCTTATCATACGGATCGATTTGGATATGGTGATTTTTAAGAAAGGATATATTGAAGATCTTCAATCGATTGGAATTGAAGATGAATCAATTGATGTAGTAGTTTCAAATGGTGTTCTCAATCTTTCTACCAACAAAAGAAAGTTCTTAAGTCTGGAGGTGAATTATACTTCTCTGATGTTTTTTCAGGAAGTAGAATTCCCGAATCTCTCGTAAAGGATCCAATTCTCTATGGAGAATGCTTAAGTGGAGCATTGTATATTGAGGATTTTCGCCGATTAATTACAAGTTTAGGCTATCCTGATTATCGTACTATAATTAATCGAAAAGTCGATATAAAGGACTCAGATATTAAACAAAAAATTGGAATGATCGACTTTTATTCTATTACCATTCGTACTTTTAAGGTACCTCTCGAAGATCGTAGTGAAGATTATGGTCAAGTCGCGGTTTACAAAGGAAATATTGAAGACAAATTCGTATTGGATAATCATCACGTGTTTAAGATTAATGATCAGGTTCCAATTTGTGGAAATACATCTGCGATGTTACAAAAAACTCGTTACGCGGACTACTTTGATATTATTGGAGAATCCGTACATTATGGATTATTCAAGAGTTCAGGGTGATAAGATTACGTACATTTCAGATATTTAAATTTTTTGTATCAGAAACAAAGATTAGTGAAGTTTATTTACCTATAACATTTTTCAATTTAACCTAGTATTTCAAATTTTTGTTTTCTTATTTAAATATCATATGTTATTGTTTTATAGGAAAATTTGCCTGCAATTTTATTTTTTAAATAAAGATATTTTTAAATGTTTTGATATTTTATTAAAAAAATTATATTTTTATGATAAAATTCTATAGTATTTTCTAAGTAAAAATCGAAGCTAAATTTATTAAACTGAAACATCTTTTATCTACTGATCCTATAAAATTATCAGTTATCAGCGTTTTGATGAAGAGAAAGAATCTGATAGAATAAAATTTATCTTAATCTATAAATCAATATAATTTTCTATCTATCAATTTTACACAATATAGTTCCACTACCATTAGATGCACCTCAATGAGAGGAATCTAACAAACTAAATTTCATCTTTTTATGGATCACAAGATCCTAAAATATCTTGAAAATTCAATAATTTATTTGTACTAGAATTTGTCCATGAGTTCGAGCAGTCGTATTGTGCTCTGATGTTTTCCTGACGTACAGTACTATACGTTTTTAAATACCTATTTGATAACGACACCACTTGTGCATAATTTGACATGCTTGTGCGACGATCGATTACTGATTATAAAAACAGAATATCTTAATTGTAAATAAAGATTACTTGATTAGGATAGAATTACGCAATATTTTGATCACGTAAATAGTATGGGATTTATTTATGATATTTATGTTATTTAATTGACTTTTTTTTTTTTTAACTGATATAATAAGCCTGAATAGTACTAGGTGACTTAGAATTTTTTAGCTTGAGAATTTACGTAAATAAGTATATATAAACAACTATAAAAAACTACTTTTTTTTTTGATAAAACTGAATTAAATAATGCCCGCGAAACTTTTTCAAGTTGTGTTTTCTGTCAGAAGGTCAATAATTGCTCACTATTTTAACATCAATGGAAACAATGCTCAATACAATTCCCATTGCAAAGATTAAACTTACCAAAAGTTATGCTTCCATTAGATGGCATTTCTTCCCGGTCAAGTAATACGTAGGTGTTCCATGATGTCACCTCGACCTCGACAGGCCGATGAAAATGCGTGTTACCTGTATGAATATAGGATAAATTTCATTATTATATAGTTATCTAGCAGACTAGCAGGTGATGCTTAGGGAGCGGGTTTATATTACGTGAAATTTATTTATACAGTTTACAGTAAGATCGGCATCGTTGCCGCGTGATGCGTGATGGCGCTCGTACTCCTTATGTCATTTATGTCGTCTAATTGTGCTACCCAAGTGATGTGATAATTAGTGACGGAATCGCGAAATATTTTGTTTATCTGATCTGTTTTCCGTTACTAAAACTTTTTCTGCCGCGCTAATTTAAATTAGGAGCGTTAGAAATATTACTAACGTTCTTTTTATTTAGGAACTCTCCGGACACTTCAGACGCTTCGGAACCGACGGAACAGATCCAGGAAGGTACTATGAAGAGGAGAGAGAAGTAGGAATGTTAGTAAATTGTATTAGTCTCTTTAACTAATTTCGAAGTGGGTTTAAGAACGTTACTAACGTTCTTTTTTACCATTTATAGGAGGATAAAATATTAAAAGCCGAGTCAAACCCTCGAGTCAACACGTCGAATAATGTTCGACTTCGTCTGAAGCTTTATTCTCAAGTTTTTTAAATTTCAAAAATATCAGAGTATTATCCCGGTTATACTGTACGTGTAAGTTCTAATCTCTTTAGCCATTTGTTCTTATATGAGAATTATTCATTTCGTAAGTTTTTAAATCTTTACCAGAAAATAATAATAGAACCTCCACTGGATATTAACATTTAAAAACTGCATGGAAGATGAAACTTGGAAATTATTCCTAAAAAAAACGATGATAAATACAAAGGTTCTATATTCTTTTTTTTTTGTTTTAGAATATAGAACAAAGGGAGCTCTTGGTTCGATTGGTCATGAGTATTCAGTCTCAAGTGACGATGCTGCGCTCCTTAGTCAATGGTCGGTTTTCTTTGGAGAATTAGTGGTGGCTAGGTGCCAACATTGACCCGAGTGATGATAAGCTGCGCTCCTTAGTATGATATGGAAAATAATAGCACTATCATTGCGTTTTCATAGGGAACTCTTGATTAATGGTCGGTTCTTCAAGAGTCTTCGGTCTGCTGATTCAGTGATGGTTATTTAATGATCGCTAGGCGGCTCATATACTTCGCTATAATTTATACTCATGAAAAACATTTTACTAATAGTTTACTGTTTTTTTATATTTACAGTAAAAATGGACATTTTGAGATTCTTAAGAAGAAATTGAAGAAATTATTCCTGAAAAATACGACGATATAATATACAAAGGTTTTATATTCTTTTTTTTTTGGTCGATCCCTGACCCATTTTGTATAGTAAATATCGATCTTTTTTTTATTTTTGCAAAGTACGCGTATCCACATTAACAAATTAATAAGTTTCAATTTGGTTTTTGGCAGCTTTAATTTAACAGTTAACGCGCGTTTAATAATGATTTTATTTACTATATTCAAGCTATTTAATATAAACTTTATTATAAAAAATATAGCAAAATACGTGTATTAGAAAGCTGAATTAGAATCATGACGACGTTATTTTTGAAGGTGACAAAGGATATATATTTTCTTTTGACATATATTTGTTCCTTTTGCCTTGAATATTTCGCTCTTTCCAAATTTTATTCAAAATGTCTTTAGCTGTTTTCCAATATCTTCATTTTCGATTTCATTTCTGCATTCAAGCATTTGGCATTTTCCTCGATCCCATCAGGTATGTTATCAGATAATTGTTTTATACTCTTTGTAATGATTTAATTTGCAAGTAAATTTGTAGCTAATGTAATATGCTCTTGTTTCCAGATCGATGCATGATGATTTAATGATGAATTTTAGGCAAAGTTGTTTTTCCAGGATCATTAGGTGGCGTTAGAGTTGTTTCAGGATTATGAAGAGAGTCTTGTTGTTGTGACAGTAATAACGGTGTTTTATGACTATGAAGGGAATCTTGCGGCATTAGTGATGGTGTTTTAGGATTATGGTGATGATCTTGTGACGGTAATAATGGTGTTTCATTATTTTGATGAATATGTACTTTAAAATAAATATGTTAATAAAAATTAATTTTTAATTTTAATATTATCCTGATGTACTTACTGTACTTCCAATGTTTTACTACTTCATGTTGGTAACGAAATATATGGCAAATTTTGATGGTCAAAAGTGGTGTGATATTTAGGATTAGGTGGCTGTAATCGCAACCAATTTATCCAAATGATCGATGCTCTAATATGTTTACATGCACCACCTCAAGATAAAAATCCATACAATTAGGAAGTAATTGAATAATGTATATTTTTGGCTCCAATTGAGTTAATTGAGTTGAAATGTCAGAAACAATCCAAAACTATAAAGTTTGACCATTACATTCTACTTGAATTATTTTTTTTTCCTTACAAATCCGACTGGCAGCTTCATCACGATTAGGATCTGGTGTGTAATATACTAATTGCCTGTAATGATTTTCAAGTTGAATTCTTTCTTCTGGTAAAAATGGTACATTTTATATCGTTCTTTAAGTTGTATTTGCATGTTTTAGGTTTCTCTTTAAAAGTATATTTGAGGTAATATTTTTTAATTAAGATTACGCTTAAAATATCAAACCGTAAAAGATGGCCATTGTTTTGATATTTCTGTAATTGGCAAACCTTTAATTCACTGTTAAAAGATTCAAGGTGATTTTTGTTGTTGGAATTTTTTCTAATGGCACTTGTAATAAGTTAGCGGCAATAATTAGTTCTTCCATATGTACACCCTCCAGAAGCCAAATTTCCACACCAGTAATCACGAATATAATAAACAAAATCCAATGCGCCTTTAATTATTGATAGCGTTTTAAGATTTGTTTTTTCTTGATTTAAATTATTCTATAAATTAGTAAATAATCATTAAATGTAATAAATGATGATATAAATATAAATTCACGATCATGCAAAATTTTTATGTAGGTGTTTCATTTTTCTGTAAAGTTTTTTAAAATTGATACATTTCTTTTCTATATGCAACAATTTCATGACCTCCATGGTGTCCAAGAAACAGATTTTAATTTATTTTTCCAACTTTGAAGTACATGAAATAAGCATAATATTAGATGAATATTAGGCCAAATTTCAATTAAAGCACGTCTTTCTTTATACGATCTGTCATAGCAACCTAATATTTCACATTATAAATAATACATGATAAGTTTTTTTTAAACATAAAAAATAAATAAATGATATACCTTTGGAATAAATTCATAACCTCTTGTTCTAATTTATCTTTATAATGTAGTACCGTATTCATCCGAAAATAAGCAACAACTTTTGCACGTAATTCGGACCAAAAAATGCATAACTTCGCCTATTCTCGGGGGGTTGCTTATTTTCTGATGAATGCGGTATTAATTCTTTTAATATTTTAAATTATTATAACTACTACTTGCTCTTTGTGCGCCTCCAGCAGCTGAAATAATAAATATCCTATAGGAATTCCTATTTTTTTGATCATCCAATACAAGCAATATAAATAAAAGAATTTTTTATTTGATATCCTCTGGGGAGTCAAGAGATTTTGGCGACTTCTGTTAAGTTGTAGCAAAGTAGGGCTAGAGGAATCTGGCCCTGAAATGAATAAATCGGCCCTTTGGGCCCCCCTTTCTCTTAAAGATATAGGTGAAGACCTATTTTATAGGTCATTTATGATAAGTAAAATCAAAAGCATTCTTTAATGAAACATTAGATATTTGACCTATCTAGGATATCTAAAGTTCAGGTTAGAGCTTTTTTAAATAGAAAGGCTATACCGAAAGTTCCATCCAGATGTAAAATCTGCTGATGTCCAAATTTCCAAGCTAGATCTCTTTGATCTTTTGTTGCAAGAATTACAAAAACAGATCATTTAACTCTTTTCTTGGTTTATAATAATATATATTTACTTCTATTAATTCACTATCTTTACTATTTGATCCAAAAAATTCATCTATATCTGCTTTGCAAACCTCTCATTATTAATTATAACTTTTCCATTTAAATGCTTCGCTACATAGTCCATATTATCATCAAGAATATGTGAAGGATTAGCATGAAGTTATAATAAATTTTGTGCCATTCTTTTTACTGTTTCATTAAGGTGAAGAAGTGGAGGTATGGTAAACAACGCTGACAGTCCTCTACATGTTTAAGATAACCAAAAATATTTATATAATTATTATTTTTTTTCTTAATATATGCAAATGCAAGACACCCAACAAATTTATACATTTGCCTTGATTTCGTGCTTTTGCTTCTGAATTAGATTTTTTTTAAACTCATATCACTTCCACAACAACACTGTAAAAGATAAAATCCTTTATTTTTAATACTAGAACGCGTTTTCCATTTTGTGTTTTAGTTGAATATTTTCAAGAATAAGGTTATATTCGCTTAAAAATGAAATAAATGAAATAGCACTACTTTGTGATTCCCAGTTTATATTAGTAAATTCAGAAGCTGGAAGTGAACATAATTGTTTTTTTTTGATGTTGATTTAAAATAAGGTGTGGAGGAATTTGTAAATTGAACATTTAGTTTTAGTTATTTTGAGTATAAGAAAACTACGTGTATAAAAAAAAAATCGATATTTACTATAAGCTATATCGTAATTACCGACCTTGCAAAATGCATATGGGTTGGAGATCGGCAAATGCATCCGAGGGTAGTGTGGTAAGATTCCCCCCCCCCCCCCNGTCACGTGACATAAATGATCATAATAAAAAGTCTTGGCATTAATTGTAACGTTTTACCCCTTGTAATAGTCTTAGATTCACTACTCTTTTAGAAATAAAATAAATAAATTAATAACGTTTTACCCCTTTTTTCTTTTTAAAAATGGGTTTTTTTTTTCAACAATAATTCAAAGGAACGTGAAGAACTCGTGAAGTTCTATAAGGAAAAAGGAACTGTAAACAAATATAAAGGAGGACTCCGCCAGACCAGGGACGATGATTTTATGTGATTGCATAATATCACATAAAACGAATAATTATGTGGTAAATACATAATTTTAATTAATCGCATCATGCATAATCCGCAGTAAAATACAAGTTTTTTTCAAAGTTTTCAGCAAAATACCAGTTTTTCCAAAGGTTCTAATCATCATCATGTAATGTTGTTATTAAAAATAAATTCGCATTTTAATGTTGGATAAAGCAATTTTTTACAAATAATATACATATTTCACCAAATAATATCACATAATGTGAGAATTTTTGAAAAAAATTAAATCACATATTTTAATTTTAGCACATACATAATTTATGTTTGAGCACATCATAAAATCATCGTCCCTGCCCCAGAGGAGGTCGCTCATCGCAGTATGCTGCGCATTGTCATCGGAATTTATGTAATTTAAATTCATTAAATTATTAAATTAAGATTGTTTCCGTGAATTTATGTGATCTTAATAGACTAATATACTGACCAATGAGTAAATACATGGTTTAAAGTTTTTACTAAATCCAATAGGAATATTCAAGGATTTCCATATTTCCTTTATGTCAATATTTCCTTTATATTTCCAGTATTTTCTTTGTAGTAATATTTCCTTTATAGTCAAAAAGAATATCCGTTAAAGTCACATATAAAGAAACTGAAATTACAAATGTATTATTAATTGGCAACGGATTATTTCTTTTTGTATGAACAGAGTAAATTTTACGTCATATTGATTGTGATATTATTATTATTATTTGATAATTGTTAGCGAGAAAAAAAAGAAAACCTTATGTAAAAATTTAAGAGTTCTAAAAATAACTTGATTATTATTGTAGTTTGCAGAATTATATGGTTAAAAAAAATACATAATGATTTCTTATGATTATTTGATTTACAAAAGAAAATAATTACTGCATGATATTTATCTACTTTTAATACATGCTTATTGATCGTTGTAACAAAAGGAAAGATCATATAACTCTTTTAATGTCCAGTTATATAATTGTCAAATTGGGCAATTTGAATAATACTGTAAACTGACAATTAGACAATTGGACATATATCCAAATTGGGACCAAAATTGTCTGATTATCTTAAACTGGCACATGATTTAAAATGATTATTTGATTTGCAAAAGAAAATAATTACAAATAATCGTCTGTGCGACTTTGTGATTGTTTGTAACAAAATAAAATTTATTTAATTTTAATACATGCTTCTAATTTTGACTTTCATGATATTTGATTCTCAAATGTTTGTTTGTTATAAAGACAATTATTTGAATTGTGCGCGTTAATCTAAGTCCCAGATTAATTGAGAGGTGATACTAAAAATAGTAAGGATTACTATTCCGTCATTTGTTATTGATCATCGAAACAAAGGAAAGAAAATCATATAACTTTGTTACTCTTTTAATGTCCAGTTATATAATTGTTAAATTGGACAATTTGAATAATACAGTAAACAATTAGACAATTGGACATATATCCAAATTGGAACTAATCGTCCAATTATCTTAAACTGGCACATAATTAATGGTTTTTAATGATTATTTGATTTGCAAAAGAAAATAATCGCAATTTCAGTGCAATTTTGTGATTGTTTGTAACAAAAAAAAAATAAAATAAATTTTATTTACTTTAATACATACTTCTAATTTTGACTTTCATGATATATGATTCTCAAATGTTTGTTATAAAGACAATTATTTGAGTTGTGCGTGTTAACCTAATTAAGTCCCAGATTAATTGTGATACTAAAAATAGTAAGGATTACTGACTTTTGTTATTGATCGTAGGAAAGAAAATCATATAATTTGATACTATTTTAATGTCTAGTTATATAATTGTCAAATTGGACAATTTGAATAATACAGTAAATATTGGACATATATCCAAATTGGAACCAATTGTCTGATTATCTTAAACTGGCACATGATTCTCTCTGAAATGTATATAAATCCTTTCAAATCGACCAACACTGGTTATAGGGTATCAACTCTTTTTAGATATAATCTAAATTCTTTGAAATTTCCAACACACAATTCATTTTAACCATATTCCTTGACATTTTTATTTTAAACATGTCAGAACATTATCGCGGTTATAATTGTAAGTCCTAAGGTGGTTCTCCTATACCTTCTCAATCTTCTCCTTACTGACTAATCAATCTCTTTAGCTATTCGCTCTTATTTAAAACTTCGTGGTGAAGACAGTTCATTTAATGAATTTGTAAATCTTTACCAAGAAATGATCTTAGAATCTCCACCAGATTCTGCTGAAAACTGGGTTGGTTTGGAGGTTGCCTGGAAAACTAGGTTCCTTAATGCCGTTAGGGAAACCATCCCAGTACATCATGAAGGAATACGTGAAAAGGTTTGTATTAGTGATTAGTTATTCAGTGTTCAGCTGGCTCATATGATGATAGTTTGCCAATACTGATATTATGAAAACTTTCTTGCTAATTTTAATTAATTTTTCCTATAATAGGTGAGATTAGAAGTTTCAAATAAGCAATTAATGACTTATTGGCAAGCTATCCTCACTGAAAAACAGGTAGATTTTTATTCTAAATTTTGCTTGTTCAATTACTGCATATTTTTGATTTTGTCTGTTTTATTATAAACAGAATTCAACATCAAGTACATCAAGTAACCTTTCTCACATTCAAAAAGATGATTTATCAACCTCTGTCAGTGAAACATTAAATATCTTTAAAAAAGTCCAATTCCCCACATATTACAATAAACTTAAAGAAATATGGTATGATGAAGATCCTTCATCCAATTATTACGTAATTGACTTTGGAAACAGAGACATATTAGAAAAAGTACACAATTTATTAAACAATACTGAATTACAATCATTATTCGAAAGATTGAAGCTAGATGATGAAGAAAAATATTTAAGTCAAAAGGCACACGATTATTTGTCATTATTTGACAAAATTTTAAAAGCTAAAGATGAAGAATCAGAAGAGGAAGAGGAAAATGATGAATCGGAAGAGGAAGTGGAAAATATTGAATCAATAGATAAATTTGTTGCCGAAATGGAAAAAACATTCCATTCTCTAAATGGTGTGGCCACAAAATTTAGATACCTGTCAAACACTCTTCCACTTCCAGTTCTAGAATACGATCAATCCCAAAATATTGATATTCATATTATTAAGAGCATTTCAAGCCACATTGATAGTTACTCTAAAATGAATGGTATATTGGAAAATACAACAGAACGATCTTGGACGGCACATGTCCTTTCATACTTTTTTTTTATGACATTCAGTTACATGGATTCTGTTCAATACTTTTCGTGTGAACGACCCATTTCTATAAAATCAGATCTACAAGATACTGATTATAGGGCAGATGGGGTTGCAGAACTTTTAAACGACCTAATCAAATCCCAATGTTTTTATTGGAAGTTTCTGGGGATCCTAGTAATGATGACATCGATAAACTTGCCAATGATAAGAAAAAATTGATTAAAGAAGGCGTTTTCGCCCTAAACAAATTCATGACAAAAACAAGGCTTCCGTCATGGGAAGTATGTAAAGATTTAAAGATTTTCCTGGCACAAGGATATAGTAAGTCATTTTCAAACATTAGTGTATAAATTGTTTATATATCTTAAAATTGTATAATGAAATTGTTTATATATCTTAACATTTAATATAACTATTAGGCGACAAACTTGAAATTGGTCAAATTATTTATATTGGACCTAAGTTGTACTTATTTGCTCCATTTACGGTCCCAAGTATAATTATCCCAACTTCCACTGCTAATTTGAGTTATACATCTCGATTAATTCGAACATTATTATGTTTGAGATTTAACATTATTAAAAAAATACGAGAGTATAAAGAATTTGAGATAAAAGCGCAACAGCTAACCATGAATCCAGGAAATAAATATGTCACTGGGGCATCTCCAGGTCGAACTAAAACTGTGGTATTTGAAGAATTTTTACCCAAGATTTCAAGAGATGATACAAGAGATGATACAAAAAGAAAAAGAGGAAGACCTCGAGGTAGAGGGAAAAGAAAAACAAATGAATAATCTTTATAAATTTTTTTGTATTCAGATACAATATTTCATATGTAAAAAAATTTCGAATACTATATTTTTTTAAACGATCATTTTGATATATATTTTTAACCAAATTTTTTATTGAAATTTTATTTTTATAATAAATATAATTATATACTCATTTATTTACTGGAAATTTGGAAATTTGAACACCTTTTTTTTTATAATGTGTTTTTTAATATAATACCATTTTGACACTAGGAACAATGAAATTTACTTTCATACAATATACTATTTTGCTAATCCTAAAGACAACCGTTCTTACCAAACACTTTCCAAATTGTCCTCCAAAGAATTCTTAAATTACTCGTAAAATATTAAAAACTATTTTATTTTATTTTATTTTATTTTGTTTGAATTTCGCAAAATAAATAACTTGCCGGTTGCCAATTTATATATGTTACATGTTTTAAATATAGAAATTACCGATTTTAATAGCATTGCCGATTTTTACATACTTTTTTTAATGTAGCTTTATTTTTAAATTAAAGTATACGCTGTCAAAACACCTGTATATATTCGTTAATCATCTCACTATCTTAAAAATAAAGATTAAAATAAATTTCATGAAATGACAAAAAAAAAAGAATACGTGGAAAATGAATGATCGACTGACGCTTAATTAATTAATAATTAAAGACTTAGTATCTATTTATTATTATTAGACTTGGGAAATGGGAAGGCTTCATGATTTTTAACCAATCATAATAATAAAATGCATGAAATTACCGTATAAAAATTATTATATGAAGTCTTTTAAGTCCTGTTCTTAAATGAAAATTAATCATGATTAAAAGAAATTTTTAAATTTTTTATGCAGATCACACCTAGGGGATACGTACCGCCTTACTTAATTCTGCTTTATTTTTTTCTTCTTCTAGCTGCGGTACGAACCAAAAATTTTAAAAATATAATTTACACAAATTTCAATTTTTTTTTTAATAGATGAATTTTTTTTTAATTTTAAATAATAATTTTATTTGATATTTTATTAAATAATAATTTAAAGGATACATTATCTCGGTTCAAAAAACTGAAAAAAAAAATAATAAATGAATGATTTTTTAAATTTCAAATTTCTTTATTTTTTAAACCAATAAATAAATAAATAAAATTTGAAAAAAAAATGAATATTTTTTTAAAATAGTTTTGATTGGGTCCAATCAATCGTGATCGCTGAAATCCGAAACAAAAATTTGAGACTTCTTTTTTTTTTAATAAATTTTAAAGAATTATATAAATTTCAATGAATATTTTGTTAACATTATTTTTAATATACAGTATCTCAACTCTCTTAAAGAATAATAAAGTTATTGATTTTTTTGTTTTTTCATTTTTGACACCCTAAGTCTTATTAAAATCTAACATTTTTTATAAAAAAAACAAATTGTTCCCTTAAGTCAAATTTATATATTTAAAATACGAACCCATCTAGATGCATAAGTTTTACGTACGCAATAATATATATATCATACCTCAAATAAGTATTAAATATTCATTGGATATTATCAATAAATCGTAATATTTAGGATAATGATCGTTAAATTTTCATATAAAAATTACAAATAATACAGAATTTGAATTAATTATATTTATCGGAATTTATGTCACAATCATCACAACTTGGCAAGTCAAAATCTTCATTTTCTAATTTTTCTTTTGTTACGATTTCTGTTCTTTCGATTTATTCAATTTTAAAATTATTTGATATATTTAAGAATCCAATATTATTATTAATTTCCGAAATTACTTGACGAATGTCTGGTCTTAACATCTGGTTCCCAATATTCTATTTAAATAAATTTAAATAATTTAAATTTGAAGTAAAAAAAATTTTTTAAAATTACATATAAATTATAAATTGTACTTGCTTTCATAAAACGCAACGAATTTATAGTTTGTGCCTGAAATAGGTTTTTCTCTTTTACCTTTAAGGATATCAGATTTAATTTCAATAATTTCTTGAAATCAAAAGGTGATTTACTACTTGTTAACTCCCAGAATAATACCCCCAAACTATATATATCGGATTGTCGGTTAAGCCATACGAACGATTTTGAGTTTCAAAAAGTTTAGGATCCATATAAGGTACTGTATGACACCTCGTACTTCAATAATACTATATGATCCTATCTGCTAATTTTATTGTATCTCTTTGTATTAAGATATTTTCGGGATGCTAAAGAAAAAGAATATGTTGAATGCATATTAATTAAATATATTTTTATATCATATAAATAAATCGTGCTTACAAGGTCTCCGTGTATAAATAAACTTATCAACATGTAACCATAAAATCGCACTTGAAATTTCTTTAGCAAACTTAAGTTGGCTCTCCCATTTAAAAGTTATAGTATTATCTCTTAAATATTTTCCTAATGTTCCGCCTTCTGCATATTCAAGTACAAGAGAATAATTTATTTCATCTAAAATATCAAAAAACATGTGAACTTATTTACCATTTAATTTCGTAACTCCATAAAATTGAATTATATTTGGATGAGGATTAACCAATCCCGTTAAATGAATCTGGGAAAAGAAATTAACGATTTTGAAAATTTATTTAAATAATATTATTATCATATTGTATTAGCAACATACCTCATTAACAATGGCTTCTTTATTAGAATTTATGACAAATTTTTTAATTGCGAACTTTGATGTATTTTTCCAACATACATAATAGATCAAGGTGGATGCTCCAGTAGAAATCTTATCGAGAGTCTCAAAGCCTTGTGGATCATAATAATATATTATTTGTCGTATGATACACTTCGAGGCGCAGTTATTACAGTATAAAGAAGGGGAAGTAGAAAGGTAGAAAATGATTGACTAATTGAGTAACGTAATATCACATAAATTACGTTACTCTGTAAGGCACGGAACGTAAGATGAACTTTATTCACCTTACGTATATAATGTGCACATGTAATATATAAAGCACGGATATAATATGACTTCGTATTATATTTTGTATAAATTACGTAATATAATATTACATTTATTTCGACCATTATAAACGATCTTAAGTAAGAAATTATTGTCTTCATTTAAAAAGTAATAAAATTACAAATATACAGTATATGTTATTAAGTATTTTGCGCAAAATCTTTTTTGTGATATTTTAATTGTTTAATTTATAAAATAAGAAGCTATTATTATCATTATATTAATTAATTTTCTCCTAATTCTAAATAACTCTTTCTTTAAAGATAACCTTTCTTTTAGAATCTTATTTCTCTATCTCTCAAATTCGAGAATTTCTTTTTTGTTGTTGTCTATTGGGCGAATTTGATTCTCTCAAAGCATTTCAAGTATCATAGTATCTATTGCCAATATTTGAACTAGTTATTTTTTTTGTTTCTTTGTCGTTCTATTAGTTTCCTTTGTAGTTTTTTCTATTTAAATAATATAAAATTTTGATTAATTGTTGCTATTTCAAATTAAAAAAATTATTGATACATATAGAAATTATTAAATGCACACGCGATCCCATCTTTTTTCAGAATTTTCATTCATTTTAATTCTTGTAAGTTTCAGGAAAATTAAAAGTTTGAAAATTATAACTAGTAGTCCATTGTATTTTATCATATGATTGTGCGCTATATATTGATATAACTTTAAAATTAAAAAAAGTTTTTCATTATCAGATAACTGAAATCAGGCTCCACTGTGCAGAAAAACTATTGTATTACATTATTTACATAAATTTAAAAAGAACTTATTACGTCTAAATTGTTGAAAATTTTGCAAAGGTCAAAGAGTCTAACACGAAAGTCTAACACGAACGGAAAAAATAATTTAGGGAAAAACTTCTCCCATGTCAGTACCTAGATTTACGCGAATTATCTTTCCTCTTCCTTTTCTTGGGGTTTCATCGCTAATGAGCGAAATGCCTCTTTCATTTAGGGCACAACATACACAAAAATTAAGTACAATAAAAATACAAAAATAAAATACAATATTGCAATACTTAATTATTTTCTTTATTTGATTTCATAATATGATATAATTAATATACAGTATATTATTACTTTATTATTTACTAATTTGTGCTATTGATATCAACATCTATAAGTAATACGTACTGCTTTACTCTTTTGTGGTCCATGGTTTAACACTCACTATATTTTTTGATTGGCCTCTTTCTTCCTTCTTCACTGTGAACGAACAACAAAATAAAATAGTGTCGGATAGTATGATCTGCTAATTCGCCACCTAGCTTTTCATGTATTAATTCGTATCCATGTTGTTTTATATCATGTGTTCTTCCCACCATCATTTGAAATGTAAAATTATAATCTTTTCCAATATAGATGGAATCGATAGTTTCGAAATTCTTTGCTGCCGGTTTACAGTATTTACCATCTTCAATGTCATCTGGTGTGTTACCAATTTTTTTGTAAGCTGAAGAAGTCGTAATTTTCGTTCTTTCACACTTTTCACACAGGATTTTTTACTTTCTTCTAGTGAGCGTGTCAAAAATGTTTTACCAGCGCTTAGTTCATTATGTGCAATAATTTCAAACACATATCCACGTACAGAACCTAACAATGACACAGAAGCGACAAACTTGTACGTTTCTTCTTTGTAGAATTCTTTTAGTCTTGCAAAAACTTTATTACCAACAATTGTTGAAGCAAACTTTAATTCACAAGAAGTATAGGGGGAATTAACAAAGGTGTGCCCGTTGATGATTTCATTCACCGGCTTCTCATTAGTATGAATATGTACTAAATTATGACTATAATTATCACCATCACTAAGTGTGCCAATATATCTAAATATGTTAGTGTTATTAACAGAAGCCGTAATCATGTTATTAATCTCAAATAATTCGCAATTGAAGATCATTCTTGTCTTGGAATACCGCCACATAATTGGTAAGATTCATGAAGATTAATTATCCTTTGAAAATTTAGGATAGATTAATGATCGGACCAAAATTTGCATATAGAGTTTGATTGTAATATGTGTTGGTTTGCTAAAATTTTTTATACTGTATGTAAATCCTTAGATGATGATATCTTATATTTTTATTTTTTTATCTATTTTTATCTTTTATTACTTTTAGTTATTACATATAGTTATTTTTAGTTATTTTTAGTTAATTAGTGATTAGATAAACAACGGAAGCTTAGCGGTGGGAAAGTGGCTGAATGAGAAGTGGCTGTAATGCTGCTGTATAGACAAATGTGCCCAGATCGCCACAATTGGCCGGGTGGCAATTCTGTTCGAGAGACAGATTTGCACCAGATTTTAAACAATATAAAAAGGACAGTTGTTGGAGGTGCAGTTAGAGTACTAGTTAGTTAGAGTTCAGTTAGAATTCAATTTAAGTTCAGTTTAAGTTTAGTATAGGTTTTATTTTCAACCGATAGATATACGGAATATTACAAGGCAGTATTTTGTTTAATTGTTAATAAACCTGCCGATCTGTTTCCACATTACTTATATACGTTTTATCATTTTTTAACACACTGTTTATTATTGTTTATTATCGTTCATTATCATTATCATTTATTATCATTTGTTAGTTTTTTATTATACATTATCATTATCATTTATTATCATTTGTTAGTTTTTTATTATACACCGTTGATTATCCGTATACATAAAATATCACTAATTTTTTTTATACACATACCACCCAATCTACCTTCAATCTATTACATCACTTATTATCGATCATAATCGTTTATTATCGTTTATCCGTATACACTTTTACCTTATCGCTTGTCATACATCGTTATATTGCCTTGTCATTTATTAACCGATCCTTATATTTCTTTCTGTTACTACCTACCGAACGTCAGAAACTGGTGGTAACAATATCATAATAATTTGTCAGTATCAAAATCATGATTTACCCTAGGTGGTTTGCCATCGATTATACACCATACATTGTCTCTTCCCCAACTCTACTATAGTCTTCATTTCGAACCCATTCCACATCAAAAGCATTCATCTCATCATGAGTAATGAGATATGGGAACGGGTAACTGCCATCATCTACCAACAGTTCAGAACTTTCCTTAACAAAACACTCATAATATAACGTCCGAAAAATGTCTTTTCCATTCCTGGATTCCCGGTGATGCAGAAATGCTTATGATTTTTGCTCTCGAGGATGATTTTCTTGAAATAATCGTAACAACGGTGCTTATAGTAGATATGTGTTTCGCCTTTGATTCCTGGAAGTGGAGGAAGGATAATCACTTCATTTTTCAAGTCTAAATCAATAGCGGTTCTTGCAAATAATGTAATTTTACTGATGTCTTTTTCCCAATCCTCTAAATAAATAGAAGTATAAAGAACGATGTGAATTAGAATTCTGATAACTCATCTTATTAGTACTTGCCTAACATTTTTGTCCTCTTGTAATGATTTGATTCATCAGAGGGCAAGAATGGCCGTTTTCCTGGCATCTCTGCACAAAAAAAAAGCTGCGTTAGTTAATGAAACAACAACTATCAAAGTCCAAATTTTGCTTTAATAATAGTGATACACAAATTTTGGTCACTTTATTATAAAATAATCAATAAGATACCCGAAAAAGGTCTCAGTTGCTTACGTCATTATATCCAATAACTTTATTATCTATGATAACTGATTTACACTAGGATGTGTTACACCGGTTTCTGACGTTCGGTAGGTAGTAACAGAAAGAAATATAAGGATCGCTTAATAAAAGACAGGGTAATATAACGATGTATGACAAGTAATAAGGTAAAAGTGTATACGAATAAACGATTATAAACGATTATGAACGATTATATATGAACGATAATAAATGATATGATACTAGATTGAGAGTAGATTGGATTGGGTGTGTATAAAACGATTAGTTATAAAATGTATGCGGATAATCAACAATGTATAACAAAAAATTGATAAGTGATAATAAAAGCAATGATAATAAACAATAAAAAACAGTGTGTTAAAATGTGACAAAACGTATATAAGTAACGTGGAAACAGATCGGCAGGTTTATTCGTTAATAAACAAATACGATATTACTACCTCTATCGGCGCTTCTCCAAATAACTAACTACTCCAACTGCACCTCCAACAACGGTCCTTTTTATATTGTTAAAATTCTGGTGCAAATCTGTCTCTCGAACAGAATTGCTACCCGACCAATTGTGGCGATCTGGTCATCATATTTGTCTATACAGCCAACTGTATTCAGCCACTTTCCCACAGCTAAGCTTCCGTTTTTTTATTTAATCACTAAATAACTAAAAGTAACTAAAAATAACTATATGTAATATAACTAAAAATAAAAAAATAAAATAAAAAATATCCCGTGACAGACATGTGGGCTTCGGCACATGATATACATAGCAATCCTAGTGGTATCATCTACATGATGACCAAAACAGCAAAATCTGGTTTGACTGTAGTATGCAAAATCGTAAATATATATTATTTATTATCTGAAAATTAAAAATATTTTAAAAACATATTATGGCGAAATAACAATATTATAATAATTAAAAATAAATAAATAAATAAATTATTACAGGTTACATTTTTTATGTTATACTAAAAACGGTAATTGAATAACTCGATTATTCATTAATGAATCTTTTAAGAAAAATTAAAAGAAAAAACTGATATTCTCAATATAGATTTGACAAATTTTAACATGGAACATCCTAAATATGAAAAAAAATGAAACATTGTTAATAAAGCTTATATTAATAGTTGACAAAATGATTTAAGAAAGCCTATTACCCAAGAAACGCATTGTCCTTTGCAACAATATTGATTCTGAGTGGATTAAAGAATAAAATTATAAATTAATTAATAATGTTTATGATTTAACGATCATTAAATGAGAAGATGAAGCATAATTACCGAACCGCATACTACATCATTGCAACAGGTTATATACTAAATAATAAAATGTTTTTTAGTATCAAGAATTAACAAAATCATACAAATAGTCAAAAACATGTATTCCGAATTTACTGATACTGAAGGTTTCATTGAAATTTTTTGAAAAAGTTTAAACCTCTCGAATCGATAAATTCGGAATATTGGAATACCGTCAAAATAAAGCCTATTACATTATCATAGCATTTGTTACCACAACATTTCTAAAACGGAAAATTTTGTTAATATTGATGAAGATATTGATAAGTAACAACATAAAAAAGAAAAGAAATATATATTACCCCGCTACAGCATTTGTCTCCACAATGAGTTTCACCCTGTGAAAAAAAAGATAAGATGTATATTAATATTGACATACCATATCATAGATAAAAAAAAAATAAAGTATATTACCGGATCACACCACTAAATTTGCAAAAAAATATATTAAATACTATTAGTGATAAGTAATACGTTGAAATTAAATTACAAGATTTAAAAATAATCTGTTACCGGTTCATGGCAATCCAAAGAGTTTTCCTGAATGCGTTGAAAGCAAAATAATTAGTAATTCAATCGAATTTATGAAATCAATCTCTGTTAATAATGAAATGATTCATACTATTGCGCACAGCCCGCCAGTTGGACGAGAAGTAACCATAAGAAAGAAATTGAATAGCAAAGCTACTAAATATATCATTGAAAGATTTTTAGAGAGTTTCATGATTTACTAGAGGGAATAAGTTAACGAAAATATTATTAATACAAAAATTTTGAAAATAATGACTTTTTATAATTATTGATATACTGAGTATTTTCCTCCCTATAAAAATTTTTATCCGTTATTTCTGTAAAAACTCCGTAAAAATGAGCCTTTTACGGATCCATTCACGGAAAATGAAATAATTCGATAAATTCCGTTATTAATTCCGGAAATATGAGCCTTTTACGGAAAAAAAGACGGAATATAAAAAACGGATCGAGTTTTTTTACAGGGCCTATTTTTAATTGATTCATTCTGTCCATCCTACTATTAGAAAGTTTGCCTGATACAGAGTCATTTTACGTTAAGCATAATAATTTTCGCATGTAATTAAAGGAATTTGTGATCGGGATTTTACGGGAATGGAATAGTCATTTATTCGTTCATTGTACGATCACCGGATCTGTTTAATGCGTTGAAAATCATTTACCAAAATGAAGCCATTCGAAATTTGCCAATTGTTTGTAAGGTCTTGTGCATAAAATAAAATCCACAAATTTTTCACTTGCAAAGAAAATAACACATTATTTTACATTTCTCAACGAAACTTTATCATTTTCACAAAATTAGCCGGTATGAAATGTCTTATCTCGTTTCCCTTTTTCATCATTATTTGTATCATAATGAATATTGTTTCGGTTACTGAAGGTAAAATTCTTGGACGTATATTAAGAAGTAATTGCCTGTAAAAGAAAGAAAAAAAGAATTAATTTGAATTTTAATTTATTTGGTATATAGCATACAAGGTTGTTATCCATAGTTATATGAAATATGGTACATTGTGTCGACTTTGGACGGAAGATGAATATGGTAATTACTTATCTGGTGATAAATCGGATCGAACATGCCATGAAGATGATGATTATACTTATTATACACCGCCAACCACATTTTATGTTATTGCGCATGTTCCCTTTAGCCTTGAAGAAGATAAAAAGCGTGGTCCATACCACAATGATATTTGTCTAACTATACAAGGAACATTAAATGATTGGGATTTTTATGAAGCTTCTACTCCATGTTAAATAATTGTTTTTCAAGATTCTCCTATATTCTTTATATTATAATAATTGCAATTGTAAGCTCATGAAATATTAAATAGATGTCCATATGAAATTTGAAAAAGATTCTGTTAAATTAGCGTTATAAGTAGTATCAGAAACCGGAAAATCGATACATACTGTACTTCTGTTGGTTGTAAATTTTCGTTAAGTTTATAACTAACTTTAGAATTAAAATTAAATAAATTTTTGTGAGAGTTGCGATTATTTATAAAAGTCTAAAGGAAGCGGGTTATATGTATACATTGTATCTTTATTATTTGTAACTTTTTAAATCGCAAACTCATGCGGAAAATACAATAAAGATAAATAAATATATTACAAAAATTGAAACAACTACCCCAAGGCTATTGTTTCTAATTCCTTTTTCCTATAAGGTTACTCGATGATTTTACCTTTTTTACTCTCGATTGCTCTAGCTTCAACTGGCTTCTGGGCCTCCTTCAACAACCATACAATAATCCGAGGACTTTTTCCACCTTAACTTGCAAATTCTCATCTTTGTACACGACGGTCACTGGTTCCGATGGCTTAAACGATGGCTTCCCCTCATTATCTAGCGAACATTCCATAAAATACCATTCGGACGCATCGGTAACAATCCCAACCACCCTATCCACATCCTGCCCATTATCGATTTCATCAGCTTTGCGTTTACGCGTTAAGATTGATTCCATCTGCACAGAAGCCTGGACAAATCCCTTCATAAAGTCTCACTTCTTAACTTCGATCACACCAAGGACCCTACGTTGAACGACATTCTATTACATAGTCGAGATTTCCTTGCCCATTTCGACCCTCGATAAGTTTTTCGGTATGAGTTTGAAATTATCTTTGTAAAACGAGACCCGGAAGCAAGATAACAGTAAGAATAAATCGTTTTCGTTGCCTCGTTTGCCCTTGTTGGAGGAGTAACGATTTTGTATGTCAAAAGAGGTTAGCGCGTCACGTTTGAGTTGACCAATCATTACGACGCAAAGGCTTTACTTTGATGTTCGAAAAAAAAGTCAGTAACATTAAAATATTATACAGTATGATTACAATAATTACAAAACACACCCAGAAGTCTCACTCCGATTGGATTATCCATCGATTTCATATATCTCTGTTAATTTAATCAAGTTCTTTTGACAATCCTTAAAAATTGAGTGATACGTTGTAAATCGGCCTTCTTTTTTACATATAAAGTTAGACTTGATGGTGCACAAGTCAGTTCTACTTTTTTTGATATTGCTTCAATGAAATCAATAAAATTATTTCTGGAAATTTCAGTAATTTTATTTGCGTGATAATGACTTTCCAAATAGGTTTAGATTTGTGGTAGAAAGAGTTAGTGGTTGAGTTAAAATATTAGTATAAAAAGAAAAACGAGGTTTATATATTTTATAGACAATTCAAAAGTTTAATTTTATCAAACATCTTAATAAACATTAAACTCGAGTCATTGTGAAGTATCTAGCTGATTTGATTACTCACCCAAAATATTTAAATTTTATTTTTTAATCTTTAAAGTATTACCAAAGCATCACATAATAAAATTAATACATATTACTATAAACTATAAAGTTAAGTTTTGGCTGAAATTATGTTAACGTACATTATTTGAACATTAGAAAGTGAAATTGATATGAAATATTGCAAAATAACATTTTGTTTTTTATTTTCATTTATTATTTATTTAATTAATTTACATTTATTTATATATTGCTATAACTACCAAAAATTTAACTAAAAAATCTAACTAAAAAATCCAACAAAAGAACCCAATCCAAAAAAGAATGTATGTTTACTTTAGTCTTCTCACTTGTTGTTCATGGTGTGAATGTAATTCCAGCTGGCTCGACTTCATAGTATTTTTATTAAACTTTTAAATTCTTCGCAACTTTAAATTGCAGGAATCCTTAAGATCCTTTTAATTTTAGTCCCAAATCTGAAAAATATGAAAAAAGGTATTAATAATATTTTATAACACAGCTATTACTCATCCGTTTACTCCAAAAAACTTACTTTTATCACTTAATCTTCTAATCTTTTAGGAAAATCCGAAACCTAAAAATAAAAAAAGACATTAATAAATGTCTTTAACACCATTATACCATCACATTTAGGAAACTTATTACAAGTTTCGTTTTAATCTTCTAGGAAAGTCTGTCCAAAAATCCAAAAAATAAAAAAAAGGGAGGATTATTAATATCATTTATAACACTATTACACATACTACATATTCATTCCACTAAAAAAATTTACCACAAGTTTCATTTGGATTATTAATCATTTCTACCATTAATATCAACCGGTTTTAAGGCATAACTAACTGTTCCTAAAAAAGAAATTAAGTGTTATACTTCTTTAAGTCAATATTGAATAAATGAAAACGTAACTATAGTTCTTCTTATTTGTTGTTCATGGTGTGGACTGTGGACAAGTTCCTGTTGGTTTGACTCCAACAAACAACAACTCCAAAAATCTAAGAAAAAAAAACACACTAAGAGACGTTAGTAACGTTTCTTAAAGAAAATGGTAAAAAAGCAGTAATGTGAGAAAAATTAAAAATTCATTAATATTATCAAAATTTTGTAAACATTTTAAATTAATTTCTATATTTAAAATAGATGATAAGTACCTCGTACGCATATAATTACCATTCTTCCATATTGTTGAATATATTATACTCTGCTTATTTCATACATTAACATTATTAAATTGGTCATATGGTATCCATTCAATTATTATATCTTCCTTTTATGTTTTTTATTGGAATATTTATTACCACATTTGTCACATTTGGATACTTTTTTAATCAATGGGCTATTTTTAGACGACATTTTGATTAAATTAACAATTTTTTTAACGTTCGATTAACTTCAACGGTTAAGAATAATTTTATTATCATGTGATTTTTTTTCTGCATGACCATAAAAGCATTAAATGGCCAAAAGCACTTGAACAACGTGACATTTGTAGTACAACAACAAAATCTGATTCTGTAAAGAACATTCTAGTTAAATACATTATAAAAGCGGTGACTAATTTGTAAATGAATGAAAGTCCTGTATAGATTATATGTGGCATAATAATTCGGCAAAACCCTGCTTGGTCGTCTTTCCCCACAATATATATACAATATTTATGAACGTATTATATTATTAGGTGTATGTAAGTACTTAGGACGTATTGTGTATGTATAAATTATTACATTACTGTCGTTCAATAACTGCAAATTATTGCTTTTGATGGTAATACTATAATAGTTCATGTGCATAAATACTCTATATTTCTTTATGTTCCTTTATTGTTGATACAATTATAAAAAATGCCACGTGATTCAAATGATAAATGTAAAAAGCTCATGTGTAGAAGATCAACTGCATGAATTAAATTAAAACATAAATAAACTATATTAAATCATGTATCTGTTGCGAAACTATGTGACAGGTTCTTTATGCATTATTTTAAAACATTTAACTCATTTTGGATCTCATTTACATAGTTATTTCAATTTTAGTCATCTGAAACAATTTAATTTCGGAAAATCGGGCCCAATTTTTTTGGTCCTACATTTAGAATAATTATAAAAGATGTTCAAAATTTTTGAAACACGTAAAAAAACTAAGAGATATAATATGAAACGGATAATTCTTATTTAAAAAAAAAGGAAGAATTCAAATTTAAGGTATGGAATACTTATTATTTAAAACGTATTGGATTTTTTTTTTATATTTAACAATATTTTATATAAATATAGGTCCTATATTATTTTGTTTTTTCCTTTGCCATCAATATTTTATTTTTCTCATACTGTTGTAATTTAAATAAGCAATGTTGAATCTCAATTATCTCAAATCTAATTTACTAGAGTAAGTAAGATATAAATATAATCTCGCTTCTTATTTTTCTAAAAAAAAAAAAAAATCTCACTTTACTTCTTGCTTCTTAAGTTTCCTTTTTTGTTATAATACCCACAAGATTGTTAAAGTAAAAAAGTATGTATAATTTAATTAATTCATTGATTTTATGACTATCTTGCTAAAATAATATTTTTTTTTTTCGATTCTTTAATAGCCGAAGAATAGGTATCCTTTACCGAATATTTCAAGTCGTTGTTATCGCCTATATAATAATATATGAAATCATCGAAGATAGATTATATTTAAGAACGGTAAATATTTTGCAAAAATATATGTACATTGTTTAGTATATATATGTATGATATATATTATGTTTAAATTAGATTCAAACATTTAAAAATATAAATGTCACGATATATCTAGGACCCTCCAGTAAGTGGCGCGATAAGATTAACGGTACAAGAGCCAAAAATATTCACAAATTCATCATATTGTAGCGAAAATTCTTTACCGCTTACAAAACCATCAAGTTGTGCGGAAGAAAAATTACCTTGCGTATATTGGGGGGCAAAGGAAATACAATATGCAAGTGATGCAACAGGAGTAGGATTTTTTACTACAAGGGCAAATGTGGCAAAGTATCCACCAGGAGCCTGCAATTTTCTTTCAGCATCATCACCTGAAGATGCTTGTATTTTTAATTCTAAAACAACTCCTGGTGAAGTTTTAATGAATAAGTCCTTTATTGCTGATATTGAAAATTATACTGTAAGTACATAACGTATTATTATTTTTTTTAAAAAATATATATATTATTTTTTTTTTATATAACATTTTAAAATAATTAGGTTATGATTGAACATTCTGTCGGTTCTGTTGATGGAAATATTATACTTAGTAATACACATATGGATGGCCAATTTTTATCTAATGATGGTAAAACTGTAATTAAATCATATACTAGCGCTTCAAGGGTATATAAAATATATAAAATAGTTTACAATTTTTTTAGTTTGTCATAATTATTTTCTAATTTATAATCATCATTATAGTTCGAAACCGATCCAAATGCCAATGGAGACATTATAACAATGAAAGAAATCTTGGACGCTGCAGGTATTTGATTTGAGAAAGTCTTAAATTTGTATTTATTATGTGCATAATTTTTACTAACATAATGATTCTAAAAATATAAAGGAGCAAAGTTAGATGGTAATTATCTTATATTCAGGTTATTTTAAATTATATTATATTTTTTATAATTGATTAATTTATTATTATTAATTTTTTTAATAGCATGTTCATTTGCTCCTGGTGCAAATAAGGATGAATACGAATCAAATAGATCTTCTGGTATTGTAATCGCAATTGTAATAGAATATGAAAATGTTCTATTCAAGGTATATTATATATTTTTAAAAGAATGGGTGATTTAATGTGATTTAACGAACTTTTTTTTTTTAAAAAAAAAATAGAATAACGTATTCACTTATAAATATCATCCACAAGTTATTGATGGAGCTGAATATAAAGCAATTGAAAGTATTTATAATGTTGACGGTTCTTATACAATAAAAGAGCGACATGGGTATTTAAATACAAAAAATTATTTATTCGTTTTATTTATTCTTTCTTATATATGATTTAACTATTATTAATTTCTTTTTTTTTAAATAGAATTCGTTTGGTATTTGAACAATACGGAAAAATCAGTTCATTCGATTTTATAACTTTATTGGTTAATTTAACGGCAGCTTTTACTTTATTCGTAAGTCTAACTATCTTTTCTTTTCATATTTCACTTTCATATATATATAAAGCTAAAATCATATTTTTTTTTTTTCTCAGACAGTTGCAACTTACCCTATAAAATTATTAATATTGTACAACGATTTTAAAAAAAATAGTATAAACACTACATGATGGCACCGACGAAGTGACGATTTTTTTAAAATCACATTATGTATTTGTGATTTAATGTATTTAATATGTATTTTTAGAAAATTATTTCTTTTGCTGGTCAATAGAAACAAAATGTATAAATAATATCAATTCATTTATTAGACATAGATAATAATAATCATTTTTTTTTTTAAAAAAAAAAAATTAAAGATATTTGAACTTAACACGTTAATAATACTTTGCGTTTCTCCTATTTATTTTTCATTATAATATTAATAATGATAGAAATTCACATAAAAAATAATTATAAAATTAACACGTCATAATTCATAAATTTGAAACTCTTACGTAAGTACGAAATTTTTTAAAAACCATTGTTTCTTATTTAGGTTTAAGTGGTTTAATTGCAGATTAAATAGTTCAAAAAAATTTATTATTTTACTGATCCCCTGTTTGAAACTCAAAACCAATGTCCCATCCCTTGGAACTATAATTTGGTTTTAGGGTATTAAACAAGATATTTGGTGTTTCCATACGTAAAAATTTGTCCAAATTAATCTAGCAATGAGGAGAGATGGAGAATGTAAGTTAGATATCAGTTGTCTAAACATTATTCTTAAAACTATGTGATTGTTGTTTTTTTTTTATTTTGTTTCAAAATAAATAAATATTCTTTATTTGTTCACAATCAAAACAAAGAAATTGTTCTACAGTATATATTGTACATAATATTATGAACGGTTAACTATAATGTTGAAAAAACAAGCAAAACGTATGGAAAAAAACAATAAGAGAGACATAGAAATATTTGATTTTATACAAATCCTCCATTTTTCGTTGCCATAAAATTTATTTAGTAGAACGATTATATAAAAGTGTCAATTTCATAAATTCATCACAAATATGTAAAGATGAAACATTTATATAATAAATCTTCCAAAACAATAGTTTCATGTGAAGTAATTAAAAATGTCTTTAATGGTATCTTCGTCTGCGCATTTTTCATTATTACAGACTTTCTTCTTTTTTATAAAATTCAAAAGTTATGTTCGAAAAAAAAGTTTTTGGTTCTATATATGATTGAGGGAGGAAATAAATTTAGTGGTACAAAAGCCCCGTCCTTATGCGACGACCAGAGTCATGTGACTTTTTGGTATTTTTTTCTAAGCATATTCATACCCTCACATCGTGTTAAAAAATATTACTATGAAAAATTAATAAACTCGGAGACCTACATTACCATCATGTGTACGTTACAATTTCGTAACCAAGAAAGATTATTTTTGACATTGGACTGTATATAAAGGATAAATCGAATTGTCAAATTGCATACACTCACAAGTCGCAACATAACAGATATAACAGATAATGCAAAAATTATATTTTAAAATACAGCTAGAGTTATTACATATATTATTTAACTAATCAATGCGCTGGTGTTTTATTTTTTTTCAATTTATCGGTTATGACTTACTAATGTAAAGTGTGATGTAAAATGTTATGCGGAGATTAATTTGTTCGTATACCCAAATTTTAGCCACAAGAATGATGCAGTCAATTCAGAAGATAGTTCGTCCTTGGATTTATAGACATGATTATTAATGGAGAAATTCTTATTTATGTTAATAGGCATTTATTATTAATACTGTAAAAAATCACGCGATCAGGTAAATCACGTACTACTGCGCCATATGACTATTGATATTTTTCAAAACTTTCAGATCTTTCCATATGAATTTAAGAATATCCAATACTGTAAATAATCTCATAATATTAATTTTGTCATTGCCAACTCTTTTAAACATAATATTGACCTTATAATCCATTTCTGTATTTTCTTGATAGTATTATCTAATATCATATTAAGTCATTAACTTTTTTATGTACCTCATTCAAGATAGTATTTCCTATGAAATTCAAAGCATTCCATAAAAATTATGATCTAATAACTTTTTGGCTTGTGATAATCACATTTTGTCTTTCAAATTAAAAAATATTTTTCATGGATCATCTTACCACCTCGGATATATGTTTATGGTAACACTAGTGACGGGGATGTTTTTTGTTCTGTGAGGTATGAGAGATAGATAAAAAGAATTACAGCTAGCTGGATAGATTGGAGACAAAAAACGTCATAAATCTGAACTTACAGCTGTAGAAAGATAAATCGCATTCTCTCAAGCTTTTTTTGGTCAACGGGATCATTAAAAGTCTTTGTAAATGATTGTTCTACAATTCTTTCCGCTTCTTTCGGCCTGAGATCCTCGTCAAGCGCAGTCTGATACATCAAAAACCACCATATTAAAAAATTGTGATAGTGACTTTTCGAAAAACAATACATTAATACGTTACTTCAATACATTCTTGGAGTATTGTCTTTACGCCTTGCGAAACTTTGTTTTAACTATGCATGTATTACGAATGTGTTTATGAAAATCTACCAGAGTACCTTTGGAAAATTGCTCAATCTGCAGATCCGAGAAATAATCAGCTTGTAACAATAAAATATGCGATAAGCTCCTAATGTTTCCAGACGAAGTGTTAGCTTTGATAATTCATACAAGAGAATATGCTCTCAAGATTCAAACTTACAATATCTCACGGTAGTCTGTTTCGATAGATAAAACCCGATTCTCACGCCATTTGCCATGCTTTTAAGCGATATGATGCAAATAGCGCAGATATATTCTTCTTTTGAAACAGAACTATATATCGCAAAGACGCTTATTAGCAAAGATCAAAACATATTAACTGGTAGAAATGAGAAGAAAGGGCTCACGGAATTTTCTTCACCATTTTCATCAAACGCAACTGAATCGTCCAAGAAAACTCTCCTCTGATCATCGTCATCATAATTCGTGTCATCGCGTCGGAATCATCACTGTCAGTTTCTTCACTTTCACTGGTGGTTGGGGAGACGAAGTAACTCAAAGAAAATGTTTAGTGTTCAGGTGTTCGTGGTAGATGAGGAGGAGTAACAACGCGTGGAGGAGGAATTTTAACATGGAAATAGGGTTTATAATCCTCACCATCCATTTTTCTCCGGTTTGATTCTTCATTATTGTTCTAAAGATTAAAATTCATTAGGAACATGACAAATAAAGTAGTTCTAAATAAAATACAATTCAAAGAATTAATAACATATTCTAACCAGTATATCACATATTTTTTATTCCTATTTTTCATCCCACCAGGTCAGCGAGAAATCTTGAACATCAGACAACAGAGAAAGTCATCTGTGCATCAATACTGGTTTTGTGGCTCAGCGAAAAACCTTGAATGACAAGAACCGAAAAAGTCCCTGCCACGCCACTATTTCCACTATATTTCTGACAAAAGATATTGACTTGTCTTTCTATATTTGTTTAGAAGCAGAGTTGCTCTCTCTTTCCTTTTGCCTGTTTCGTAGTCTGCGATAATTTCAAGAGATTTGAGGTAACTATCTATTTTGATATCAAATTGTTCTATATCGAACTTATTAAGGAAGTCCTCAATATCCCATTCCAAAAAGGTTCGTTTAAAATATTCATGAATTCCGGACATGATTATTACAAGGTCTTGAATCTTGATGAATTAGTGATTTTTAAAAATATCGTCAGATGATCCGATAGCAGGATTTCAGATGATTTGCGGTGTATCATTTATTACATCATATATACTTTAACGAGGGTCGAAAACGTGTTAATTTATGTCGCACACACCTACATGCATTGATAAATATATTTATATTCTGACAAAATACACACGGTTGAGATTTTCTTTACTATTAAGATAATATTCGGATTCTATTTCTTAATGTATTTTAACGATATACCTAATAAATTTTTTTCCAATACTGTATATTTTATATTTTCGTTTTCGCAATGTCATTACAAAGATTACTGAGTATTAAAATAGTAAATTTATTAATATTTGCTTTTACATTTATTGTATATACGTATTCTTTTTTTAAAATTTATCTTGTATTTGAAGGTGGCAGACGTTAAAAGGAGAACTAATATTTTCTAATAAAGATGTATTTGAATTATTTAAATAAGTAGGTTGCGTATACAAATTAAGAAGGAGGGTAAGAAGAAAGGTAAGAAGGGTATGTAGGAGGATGTGTAGGAGGATGTGTATATAAATTAGCAAGATGCATATATGAACCATTTAAAGAAGAATTTGTGTATGTGTATTGTGCAAAGAAGAAGGTAAATTATATAGGGGATTTGTGTATGAATTATATAAGGAAGGATGAAAATTTGTAGTTATAGGAGTAGGAAATTGAAAAGTACTTGAAGAAGTAGGAGATTGATTAGTATAAGAAGTATTTAAAGCAATGTTAAATTCATTTAGGACAGCTTTTTCCTATTACATCAAATAAAAAAGTTAATTATTATTATTACATAGCATACATTTCTATCACCACGTTTGGCTTTACGAATTTGATTAGTTTTTCTTTTTTGAATAAGTGCACCTGTTAAAGGTCCAGAAATATCCTTTAATCTTTTATCATCACGAGCAATTAATTGCCTTAATTTATTATTATCTGTACAGATCATTCTTTGATTAGCTAATGCTTTAGAAAGAGTTTCTTCATTAGCGCCATTCATTGACATTAACAATTTTGATTTGATGTCTTTAATACTTCCTTCTACTCAAAAGAAAATTATTTCGTACATTTCTTAATAAATTCAATCTTTTAATTTTTGGTGTTAGATTATTAACTATCATATTTGATGGAATATGAAATCCTTGTATAGTTTTTAATAAAGGATGAGACGTAGTTAATGATGAAAACGAACTTCACTTATAATTCGTACTTTGCATAAATGCATGTCTTGATAATTTTTAAGCCCATTCGGAAATTCTGAATTTTTACAACCTGCTCTACATTTACCAACTTCTCCACAAACTCTTTGGCAAACATTTCCATCTCCAGCACAATACATTAATCCATGACAACATAATTTATCTCTTTTTATCTTAGAATTTATTTTTTCAAGGAGTTCATGAACTTTTGAAGTTAATGAAATTATATCATCAATCCTATTAGTAGACTTTGTTTTTCCAGTTATAGTTTGCCATTCCATAAAGTCGACTGCGCCTTCTACTTTGAATAGTAATATACCCTTCTTTAACTAATTCTGAAGTATACAGTCTACTTTGAGACTTTAAACGTCTATCTTTTAATAAAGAATGGTTTGCTATATACCATTCTGCAGCTCTTCCGAAAGGAACATTTACAGAATTATCTTCGTTATACTATATATGTGTAGAATAATCTTGCATTTTATTAAAACACGCAAAACACGTGATATATTAAATACAATACGTTACATAATCAGGATTTCTATCAAATCATTCGCCGTAACATGACTTTTATAGTCACGTACTGTATATGTTTTTTTTTTGATTATAAATATTGTCAAAATTATTGATTTTCTCCAAATAAAGTGTTAATTTATCAGGAATGAGATGCAATAAATCAATTTTTGCATATGTAGGACGGGTGCTTTAGCATACCTACAACCTTTTATCTAATCGAATAGTCATTTGACAATTGATACTCACAGTATATCAATTTTTTAAGTTTATTTATATATTCAGTGAAAATACAATGTTAATGAAACTACTCGACTAATATATAATAAAGAAATAAATTTGTACAAAACTATTTATATAAGTTTATATTCTTCAATGAATATTTTTAAGCATTTTTTCTTTACCGTCATAATAATACTTTAATTCTTCTACATATATTTTTATAACATTTTCGATATCTTCTTCACCCGCTAGAATTTTATTTGAAGCACGAAAATCTCTAAGACGAAGTTGTGCAACATGACTATAATATCCACGATTTTGTTTAGCAGCCTTAAAATAGAATTTAATAGCCTCTTTATCATTTATTTTTTCTCCTATTTGACCTCTTTCGTAAGCTTCACCAAGAAATGTTTGTCCCATAACCAATCCATTTTCTGCTGCATATTTCAACATTTCTATTCCCTCCATTTTTTCATTTTCATCTGAATTACCTTTATTAATTAAAATTCTTCCAAGTTTAGCTTTTGCATATAAATTATTATTATCAAATTGCACGGCCATCTTAAACCATTTCTCTGCTTCACTTTTATTTTTAATTTTTTGATCATTCTCATAAAGTAATCCAAGATTATATGCAGATTGACTATCTCCCAATTCACAAGATTTTTTGTACCATTTTATTGCTAATTCTAATTTTTGTTTAGTTAACTTTTTAAAAGTTAACTCATTTAATTTGGTTATTTTAACAAAATTTTTCCATTCAAAAGGTTTTATAACGTAACTATTATGGTACAACAATGCCACATTTCTAGTCGCTATTCTTACTAATTCTTTACTCGCGTTTTCTGTTACTTCATTTGTTGCATTTTCTTCTGTTGCTTTTTTATCTGTTGCTTCTGCTTTTTCAATTGTATCGATTACTTCCTTATACCATTTTTTAGCTTTTTGTGGATCATAATGTAATATACTGAAACCAATAGAACACATATATCCTAAACATAGTTTTGCTTCTATAGATCCTAAATCTGCAGCTTTTTGACACCATTTTACAGCTTCTTTATACCATTTTTCAGCTTCTGGGATCAATTTTATAGGAATAGAATTATTCTCTTTAATTCCTATCATATAATATCCGGCTAATATCATTTTATAAACATAACCATTCTCATTTTTTGCTTTTTCTTCCAATTTATTTAATTCAATATTTTTAAATATATTTGTATCTTCAGTTTTATCAACAAATACATTATAAGTTCCAAGTCCTTTCACAGGTGTACAATTTACTACATATTTAATAGAGTCATCCAACATCCATTTAGGTAATTTGTTATACTTTATTCCAGTCCATCCTGTACCATTCGAATTTTGTTCATGTTTACCAGTAATAATAAATAATGAAATTATATTATTATTAAATGGATTATATGGAGATTCTTTAATTTTTGTTAAAACTAAACGTTTTGCTTTTTCAGAATTCTCGGATTTTTCTTCATGTAAATCAATTCTAGCTGTAGATAAATAAATTTTTGGAATGGATAATTCTTTGTTATTAGGAATTATACATTCATAATAACCTAAAAAGTTATCTTCTAATTTTTTATCTTTCTCTTTATCAATAAAATTCTTAAAATCATTTTTAAAACTTAAAGAAGAAATTCCTTTTAATTTATCTTTTACTGTCGTAATAAGTTGTTCCTTCTTTCTTTTAAACGTAATACTAAGGTTAGAAAAGGATTGAGTGATAGATTTTAATGATATATCCACAGTTGAATTAGTTTTTGTTTTAAATGATATGAACGATTCATTGTCTAAACTTAACGTTTCATTTTCTAAACTTAAAGTATCAACAGATTCATTATCAGAACCTGGAGAAGGAACTTTAGTTTCAGAACCCGAAGAAGGAATTTTAGTTTCAGAACTTGAGGAAGGAATTTTAGTTTCAGAATTCGAGGAAGAAACTTTACTTTCAGAACTTGGAGAAATTTTAGTTTCAGAACTTGGAGGAACCTTAGTTTCAGTATTTTTGTTTTTTGACTTTCTTTGAAATATATGTGTCATTTTGTTAAAAATGAAAAAAAAAATTTGAAAATTTATTTTTCAAATGAAATTGTCATTTTAAATAATACAAATTTCCAAATTACGCTTATTCAATATCCTTAAGATTCGATCCGCCTATGATCGACAGAAAATTACTATATAAATTCGGGGGAAATTTTATTGCAAAAAATAAACTAAATAGGCAAAATTTTGCCAATCAAAATCATCACAAATCATGTTGTGATACCAAGTCATGTGATGAAACTTAAAAATGCCAAGAAAAATATCGAGAAAAATATTTTCACATAGAAACTCACAATAAACGCTAAAATCTGACACCTACCGTGTCTTAAATATTCATTTATTCAGTAAAATTGCTTCACGCATGAAAATTACTCAAATATTATTGTCAAAGGGATGGTTTTTTGGCTAAAAACAAGCGTAACTAACGTACAAATAGAAAAGATCTAAAAATGAAAAATTCAACCTAAAATAACCTATCTGCTATATAAATCCTTCTAAAAGCCATTATTACCTATTGTTCTGGTAATTGTATGTTATTTTTTTTTATATTATTGTTACAACACTTTCAAAAAGCTAATAATATTTTGCAAACTAANAAAAACTAGATAAGAATACATATACCAAAACTTCCACCATTTGAAATTAATTTACGGGTTACTCCTCATGAAAATAGAAAGAGATCATAGTAACATGTGAACTAAAAGCAAGAGAAAATATTAGAATTATATAAAACAAGTAGTTTCAAACATATAAAATACATGAGAACATAATTTTAAGTGTTCATATATGTTAAAATAACGTAATATACGACTTGAAATTCTCACATATATATATATACATACCTGTCAAATCTGACGCTGCCTCAAAGTAAAGTTTTGAACAAATAAATAAATTTCTCAATTTTTTTTTATTTTTTTCATCTTTGACATTTAAGGAATCATCATGTGAATTTTGGTGCCACAGCATGATGATCTGCGGTTTTTATAGCCCATAAAATTTAGCCAATTTTGGCATTTTTATAATAACCTCGCCCCGAATTTATATAGTAATTTTCTGTCGTTCGTAGGCGGATCGGCTCTTAAAGGGAAAGATTACGGGGTCACGAAATCCGAATAATTCGAATAAAAAGTAAAGATCGGTGAATAACCATAAAAAAAAAATAAAAACGAAATTTCAGAATTCCACGTGATATTTTAATGTCAGTTCATTATCGTGATAATTAAAAAAATAGTGGATATGAATGTAGAAGTTAGTAAATAGTGTTACGACTACAAATTTGAATAACAAAATACAAGTATTCGAATGCAACAGAAAACGAGGATAATAGATGACGAAAAATGAGGTAATGTCGAGTCAACCTACTTTTCTATAGGGTTTTCGTCTGTTTGGTCCTTACTTTTGCTTATTATATACCTATTGCTTGTTCACTTACATCTTAAACTATATGCAGTAGAATTCTTATATCGATATCTCTTATTGAATTACTATAATTCTGCAAATATCCTTCGTTGTACCTTTTCTACAGGGGAAGCCATTTTCCGTTAAACAAAATAAATAATAAAAAATAATAAAAAATAATATTTTTAACTAAAGGTCTAAAAAAAAATAAAAGTGTTGGACAAAATGCGACATTTAATAGTATCATTACAACAATTATAAATAAATTTTAGTCAAAATTACCGAATGTATTAAAATATTTTTGTCAAAGCATGTTTATAAATAACAATTTTTTATAAAATAGTATTAACTATGATATTTTAAGATATTTATGCATATTTTACATTTTTACATAAAAAAATATCTTTAAAAATCTTCGTCAAATTTAAATGTAGTTTCATGTTTACGACCAGTTTCTAAATTCACAGCAATGGCACTAATTTCGATTTCGCCAAAAATCAAGAAAAATAGAATGGGTCTTGGACTAAACGTTATGGGTAAGTCGATAACCCAATTACCAAGTGGTTTTACACCATCTGAATCACAAAAATCTGCATCCTCTTTGTCAGTAATATATATATCTAAACCCATAAATCTTTGAAATACATGTCCTGGCGTAAATATTCTTGGAATTGCTGCATTAACGGGAATTTCTTCACCACATTTTACCAATCGTGAAAATTCAATAATTCTATCACCCATACCCATAAACCCATCATTCGGAATCTTTCGATCATCCGGATCACCTGATTTCCACATACGAGCGACATCAGTACCTAGTACAGATAAAGAAAAGTCAGTAAATGTTCATTACAATTCATGTCAAAGTTTTAAATAATCACCGTATGTCCATTTCAAGACACGAGTGGCAATGACGTCACGATTCAATCCATATTGAACAGCTAAGATTAATAAAATCATGAAATAAATATGAGTTTGAACCAAAAGAAAAAAGAGGTATATCTAATCGATATAAAATTACCTCCTTCAACAATTGCTGTTGCTGGACTATCAGGAAAAGAAATTTTCACTCTGCTATTAAATTTTTCTTTGACTTTTTCCCGCAAATATTTAGATTCACTGAATCCACCAACCAACAACATAGCTGAAACTTCTTCATTACTTTCGTCAAGATGTTCGCTAATCAAATCTAAAATTTTTTTTATCACCACGTCAAACATATTTTTAATATCTCCAAATTTTAATTCGATAGTCCATTCTTCTTCTTCCATTTCATTACGTTCAGAGCCTTTAACATATTGCTTAATAACCGGACATAAGTCTATTTAAGTAAGAAAAAAAAAAGTTTAATAAAATTGATAAAATTTCAAAATGTCATAACATTTATAAATTACCTTCCAAGTCTAAATTAAATGGTTTAAAATCCGCTTCTTTTCCAGTGAACGGGAATTTGATGCGTCTACAAAATTCTTGAACTATATATTGTAACTGGCCATAATTATTTTCTTTCAAAAGTTTAATTGCCGAGTGGCCAACTTTACGACTAATAAACTCAATAAATTCATCGTCAACAAAACTTCCACCACAATAACCTCCTTTTCTTTTGATTTTTTCACCAAGTTTATTACCCTCTAAGAGTTTTCGAGTTGTTAAGTCAACAGTTCCACCACCACAATCAACAACCATGAATGATTCTGGAAAATAAAAAACGTAAATGAAAATTTTTTTTTTCAAAGTTATAAATTTAAAATGATAATGATACTTACTATCAACACCAACACCAAGTTCTTTTAAAATATCCATACAATTAACCGCAGCAGCCTCGGCTAAAAAAAAATCACGTGGGAAATAAATTAATTATTACTATGACAAATTAATTATTTGATAATTTGTACTTACGTTCAGTTGTAAATTTCAAATGTGGACTGTTCTTATGTTGAATTAGCCCAGCATTAAACGCACATTCACGCATAACGCCTATCCTTTGATTATCAAATTCAGCTGGAACCTATAATAGACATAATATTTAATGAAATTACATATAGTACGTAGTAAAAGGATATTGCTTCAAATTAAAGTGACAATAAAAAGAGAATTTACCGTCATAATTAGTAAAACTTGTTTGAAGAAATCAACTTCTGTCCCAGAATCATTTAAAGTCTCCTTCATAACTTCACCCATTTTTCTGAGATAATCAGTTATAGCAGTTTTAAAATTTAAACCCTTTGGTAAATATATTTTATCTTTATCTTTATTTTCCATTTTACACAAGTGTAATTTAAATCTTTCCGCAATGTGAGTAGTAATAGATTGCTTTTTTTTATTTTTCTTCTTTTTCTTATTATTCTGTTTTTCTGGCTGTTCAGCCAATGCGGAATATCCCCAATCCATTGCATTAAATGATCCATTATATTTTAACACTGTTGGAGTTTTAAAATAACCAATATAATTTTGCCATTTTTTATGTATGAATATTTTTGAAGGAGTCGATTTATACGCGTAAGCGAATCCCTGTATAATATAAATTTATTAATCATAAAAGAATATTTTTAGAACATTTTATTGAATTTGTCGATTATATAACTATCTTACCGAAAACGTAGTCCCGAAATCTAAAAAATGAAATATACATATATATTTTAATTTAATTAATTTATGTTTCAAGTTTATTAATTATTTTTGCAATGGTAAAATACACAACCTATAGCGGCGACCACTCGAATGTCCTTGTTTTCATCATCATCATCATCATCTGGTAGCATTGGTCTCATAATAGGAATATGTTCGTCGTCATCATCATCATCTTGCATTAAATTTCTTATGATTCGAATTTCATCGTCATCATTTTGCAACATCTTTCTTATAATATCATCTTCGTTATTCGACATCATAACTGTAACAGACTAACAGAATAACAGTTGAAATAAAAAACAAGAAAAAGAAAGGAAAGGAATTTCTTTTATATTTTTTAAAAAAAAAATTATGATCCGAAAAAACCAATCAAGTACATATAAATAGTTATACAATTTGTTTACATATAATTTAACTTTTTTCGAATTGGATGAATGACGCGCCTAATTCGACATAATAGGTAGAGTAGAAAGGTAAGTGAGGTAATATTTAGGTCATTTGATATGTAAAATAAAAATAACGACCAATTAACATTTTTTAATTTATTTTGTGGTGACTTAGATATTCCCAAGGTCTGTTAAGTAATCATAATTTTACTAGTGAACCTATAAAAATTTGGTTAAATGTGACGTTTACATGATTTATAATCAATATTATTAATTTGTTTTATTGTTTATTGCGCCATAATATAACTAAAAATGGTTCTTGTTTATTCTTGTTTTCCGTAAACGGGGCATTTTGAAACACCAATAAAATTTTTTTTAACGTAATTCTGAAAAAAAAAATCGAAAAAAAGAAAAAGTGGCTTAGAAAATAGTTTCACATCCCCAAGTATATAACTTCCGTTTATTTCGTTATAAGAAACGCAAGTTTTTTTTTATGTTTAAAAAAAAGCCTCCTGCATCATCCAATCAACAGCTATGACTTCACGAGAAATTCAAAAAGAACCTGAACGTAACAAACGTCTTGATGATGAAAATGTCGATTTAAAGATGAAGCAAAAAGAATATGAGAACGGTGTTAATTCATATTGTAACCATTGTACCGAGTTAGAACAACAATTAGAGGAAATAAAATCTCAAAATCAATCATTGAAACAAAAGAATAAAAATCTGGAGGCTGAGGCGTCAAAATATCAGTCAGCCCTTGGTATAGCAACAAATTTTGATTTAAATGTCGATGATCAAGGTGATAGCGTCAAACTTAATAAAGATATTTTAGAATTACATGATACTTTAGAAAATTACGTTACAAATTTGAAACCTAAAATAAATGTTAATATAAATGAAGCAAAAAAGCTTTTAAATAAGTATGGATGTCAAACAAATATTTCTGAAGAAGAACCAAATAAACCACTTATCAAAGCTGTATTACAACGTCATGTGCTTGAAGAAATACTTACCCAAGCGAATTACTTTTTCATGAATTTCAAGTATTCAAATAAAGATCATCATCTTGAATCCGAGATAGTGGATCGAGCTACGTATTTGACTGGTCTAATGGAAAAACTTTATAATAATCGTCTTGGAAATGATGAAATAACTCGTCTCATACCGATAAGATTGCGTCAGCAAGTTTATACTGCACTTGGCACTAGAGGATTTAATGATATCAAAAAACCCTTAAATAATTATTCTAAACATAACTTTATTGACATTATCTCGAAAAGAATGAATAAGATAATGAACCAATTTCGTAGAATTAAGGATAATGAAAAAAGGAAATATGTAAATTCTTTAGCAAAAGATTTAGTTCGAAATGCTGTTAAAATCTTTTATTTTCGTTTACCCATTCAAGAACCAAAAGCCGAGTATCGTTGGTTTGAAAATGACGAAAAAGTCAATAAATCTTACATGAAAGGCAGTTGGAATGATGATGATATTAAAAATTTGGTTGTTGAAGTTTGTGCATTCCCTATGATCTGTAGACAACATCCAGATGGTTTAAAAGTTTTTACTCCTGCAAAAGTTTTTACACGTCGTTATAAAAAAAGAAATCTGATAGGAAAATTTACGGATAAAATCAGAAAAAAGCTTACGCCAAACGATAATTCAGTTCTATCTCTGCAAGGTGATTACGGTTCAAATGACTCTGATGACTCTGGTGAGTCTGGCCAGTCCGATGACGATGACTCCGATGACTCCGACGACTCCGATAACTCTGATGACTCTGGTGATTCTGGCAACTCTAACGAGTCTAATTAAATGATTAGATGTCAACTATTAATACTGAAAATTATATAAAATATCAATACTCGAGAAAACGTCATTATAAACAAATAATACCTGTAATGACATGAGCTATTTTAAAAATAATTTAAGTAACATATGTTCCGTAAATAGATATTTTTTTTTTATTTTTGATATTTTTTCTTATTATGCACATTGTATGTATAAATATTTGTCACGGCTAAAATGTTCTTTTTTTTTTTGTCAAATTTGTTCAATCAATTTTAATATTATGAATGATTAAAATTTCTCTCCTGTTATCATTACCATCATGATAGAGCTTCCACCTACCATCAATTGATGAGCAGGATGATATCCAGTTGTTCCTTGTTAAGAGATTTAAATTATACTCATTCCAATTACAAAATCCAAAAGAAATCGTATTGTTATCTATTGTCACTACCTTCCGTGTCGGGATTGGATAATTTGTACGCCTTTCGCAATCCTTGGAAGTGATAGCCGTTTCTCATTATATAGTATACATATATGTCCAAGCGTTATGCTGGATTACGGATTGCAATCATCATAGCTATTTATGTGTATGTGTCCTATTGAAAAAAAAGAGGGTTAAAAATTTTGAAATTTAAGCAATTTAAAAAATGTATAAAACTTACCATAAGTCCATTAAGACGTTGATTAATTATATAATTCTTATTAAAAGCGCAACTATTGTTCCTCTACGGATCGAAAAATTACTCGTACTCCAGTATAATACTCTCGTCATGAATGAAAGTCGGTTAATAATCGAAATTCTTCCTATAATTCGCCTTGACATGAGACAGGTAAAGTTTTCTAATCCAAGTTTTTTTATTGAAAAAAAAAATAATATAAAATAATATAATATACTTTAAAAGAGAGTAAAATATACTCATATAGGAAGAAAATTCTTAATGTCATAAAGGGCATTTCTTCTCAATACTCTTTGAGTTAATTCAAGTCCTACTCGAAATCATTTTATCATTTTGTTTTCAACACCATAGAGAAACGCCCTAGAACTCCTCGATTTTTCGATAATTCTTTGTCTCCGCTGCTACAATTTACAATTCTAACATGTTAAATAATCAGCCAATAAAAATTCATCAAATGACGTAAAAAAATTTTATCAAGTTACCTCATAACGCCCTGCTTTGAAGATATCCGTACATTCAAAATCGGCAGGATTCTTTGTTTAATTAATTTTAAAATGGCTATAATTTAAAGTTTGATTATAAACTTATAACGTTAATGAATTGTGTTGACATCAAACTTTATTTGGCTCAATAATAAATAATACGTGTTTAATTATCTATTATGGCTTAACACATTGCTGAACTACCAATACAGTTTTATATTCCTATTATTATACTTCATTCCTCACTGACCTGGAAGTGCCAAACTTTTTTCCTTAACATCAATATCATTTTATGTTGCATTATAAAGCATTTCAGGACCTGAAGCTTTAATTTTCAAAGTCCCAATTGCTCTCTCTACGTTGAAGAACTTTTTTGGTAGTTAGGATTTGAACGTGCATTTCTATAGTTGTTCTTCGCCTTCTTCATGTCATTAGTCGATTAACAAATAGGCTCTAATTGATAACAATTTTATTACATTACATAAGTTATTGAAGGAGGTTTATATAATTTAGTGGGATTTTTTTTAATAAAGTGTGGCCAAAAATTTTTTGGGGATATTCAATAAGTTTGCTATAATTATTCTTCCTATAATTAGTCGTTTTGTAAATTCAACATTATTAATTATTATTGTTGAACATTCTTGTTAGTTGTTATTCATCAATCACAATAAAATAAATTTGTTTTAGAAAATTTTTCGCAAGCTTTTATGAAGGAAGATCATGTACATTTTAAAAGCGTTTTGTTTCCAGGAATGGAAATTTTGAGATCGGCGTGGGCGGGACAATCCTTACATAATTAGCAAATCAGTTAGATAAATTAACTAGAACCAGTCACTCGTATTACGAAAAATTATTAGTGTTAAATGATGGTTACATAAACTAATGGATAAAAAAAAAATCAGAGATTACCACTTCTATTCATTTGGTAATTGTTACTGGTTTGCTTCCAAAATCCTTGTATCGTTAATAAAAAAAAAAATTTTATTATTTAATAAAAAGTAATAAGAATTTATTATATCTTTAAACTGTTCAATATTTTATATTGTTTTTTTTATTGTGATTTTTTCTAAATATCCAATTAAAATGTAGTGGCTATACATATATCGTCAGTTTGTATATTATGAGCCGTAACTTCAATTTCAAATTCAAAAAATAAAATGGGCTACAGCACCTACAGGTATATCCACATTACCATATATTTGGCGAATCACAACATTTTACATTATCATCAGAATTAATGTAGAAACCTATCAAAAACTTGATGAAATAACCGAAAAGAAAGGAGACTTTTGTGTTGGAAGTTTGTTGATGATGAATTTATAAAATCCTTTGGATTTTGATAATGTTAAAAAAATGTCTGTTTCGGCTACATGTCCTATTTGTGATGGAAAACATGGGAATTATGGATTACATGGCGAATAGTATAGGAATGAAACAGAATATTGTCTTACCTGCAACAGTTCAAGCAATAAACTCAAGTTTAGGACGAAACAGATCATGTGAAATAGATCACTTGAAATGCGCATTACGATATCAGGAAAATTCTATTCACCCGTTCATAGCTCAATTAAAATTATCAGATTAGAGATTTTTTTGCAAAACAATAGATCAAGAGGTTAGGACTGTGCAATATAAGATTTTAGCACTTTTTTTTTGTCATCAGGACTAATACCTAGTTTCAATTCCAAGGATTCTCGTTACTAATCACGAATGCAAACAAATGAAACGAACTATTAAGTTAGGGTGTTGGTATAATGAATATAGCGAGTATCTGGAGGCGAATAGAATAGACACAATAAGACTTTATCATGTATCATGTATCATTGTATCAAGCGAAACTGTATCGCGGCCTAAGATCTGATATGTACTTTTTATTTACAATCAATAAAGCAAAGGTTCATTAAGCACAATATATTTACATGATAATATTTTGCATAGTATGGTTGTGGGGATTGAGGGATTGTATTGGCATCCCAATAATGTGTAAAACTATTGCGTAAGTAAAAATTAACCGTAACATCTTGTAGATGCGTAATATTCTTGAAATTTCCTGCAGATACTCATGTAATAATAATAAAAAAAGACCTTTGTTGATCCAAGGGACACAATCCCATATGATTGGCAATCAAGGCTTTTTATTATGTCTTGAGCAAACCCGTTAATCTGATTTTCTGTGATGCCATCATAATTCCCCAAAGATTTATTCCAAATTCGATTCTTGAACCTTCAAAATCATATAAAAAGAAGGAGTGACAGATAGTGAACCCTTTTATCTACCTTTCACAATTATAACCAAAAAATCAAGTGAAACTAATAATATCTAATCAAACTTTACATCCAAGATTATCCGCAAAGTAATAATAAGATATATTGGTTTTATTGTTCAGCTAGCTTCTTGAAACATGTCATCACGATGTTAATCGATTTCCCATCTCTTTAGATGTTCCAAAACAAATCAGACATATTACTCTTCTTGTTATATATCGGCATTCTGATCTTCGCCAAGAAAATCTTTGACGTATATAATAGATGCAGTGAAAAGTCTTGCGCAGTACATCAAAAAATATAAACATCTAATTCTTAATGTTTGGCGTAATATTGTACTGGTGATAAAAAATTATGCATCAAATTTCTTAAAAATCAAGGTGGTCTGAAAATGAGACGTAATGGTAAGTACGAATCGGTAACATTACATTACCTTTTTTACATCAGTTGCTAATCTCCCAATTTATGCTGTAGATTCAAAATTATTCAATCTTGGAAACTTCTCTTGCAGAACTTAGCTAAAATCAAAAATTTCTATATAATATGTGTGGGTAGGAGTTATCTATACTGGCAGGGATCTTGTAAGCATAGTTTATTTCGTATTAGTAGAAAATGGAATCTCGTAATTAGAAATAATTTGATGCAGTGGATAACCTAATGAATACATCTATAGTTCTGCTTTAACAGTAAACAGAAAAGATGAGTATAGATTGACATCAAAATTACACATACTTTTCAACATCATCGATTATAGTGAAGGAACATTATAAATTTCCTTTTCAGATTTTTCTTCAGGGGCTTGTTGTTCCTCAATTTCAGATTGTTTTTCGAGTTCTTCTTTGTGATTTTCATCACTTGTAGCGAAGGGAATAATATCATCATTATATATTTCCTCTTCAGATTTTTCTTCAGGGCTTTCTTGAGTTCTTCATGATTTCAAATTTCAGGTTAAACTTACGAATTGTATTCATTTCTGCCAAATCTATAAAATCTTGAATTATAATCTTGTACATTCCCGTATTGGACGTATAGTAGGCAATTGCAAAAGTCGTTCAATAATGATCAATGTCTCTTAGAAGAAGTCAAACCAGAAAAAAATTATAGGCATTGCATTTGGTGTATCAATTTCAGTCTTCACCAAGAGCAGAAAGAAAGAATTAGCTTTAATCTGATGAGTATTCAGAATTGTGCAGAGACAAATGCTTGGATTTTTTTTTTATCTGTTCAGACCAGATCTTCCAATCAAGTCTCAAATGATATCAATTTACTTGAAAGAAATAATGTTGCCATGCGTGAATTGTTAAACTTATCAGAATTAGTTGATGCAACCAAAAATAAACGTGAGTACTATGAATTTCAACCAAAATATGCTTCTGCTTCCATAATAGTCAAAATAGAAATATAATTTTTATAATCAAAGTTTCCAAGAATGACTATGTGGATAGAGTTAGGGCTATATTATCGCTTCATCTTCCAGTCTAATCTCATAATCCCCTTCCTCTGAATAATAATTATACTTAATGTGAATATTTGCAATTTTTTATATATTATTGTAAGCTGGCAATATTTTTTTATTTCATTATTTTATAGAAAAGTAGGTCACATGTAATGATGCAATAACTGTGTAATATCAAATCGTATATTAACTCCTAGAAATAAATTTTTAACTATTTTTTGTCCAAGCTAAATATCATATAAAAATGTTTGTCTCTGAATAAGATGCTATGCAAGTATGAAATCAATAGCAATGATATAAAAAAATATTCCACTCTTCAAACTAGAACCCGTAAGATGATGAAGATAAGAAGCTCGAGCAAAAATAAAACGCAGGATGGGAATTATACGTTCGGCAACAGGCAGTAATGAGGTTATGCATGAGTATATTTTCTTAATATTATACACACACA